TTGAAAAATTGAGATATTAATGATTTCAAGTAAAACTAGTCTTAATGCATATTCTGTGAGAAATTCGCTCCCAAATTCCAATATAAGCATCGAAAAGTCAATTTGAACTCTCTTTCTGCCATAAAGATCCATGTAATTTCGAAACTTCAAAAACGTATCTCTTGAAATTGTAAAAACTGCTTTTATGCTCCTTTTCCTCCATGCCCATCAAATGCACTTGTATCCTGCTAAAGAAAATTGATCCATTAATTGGCAGTAACCCTAAAGTAGTGTCAAATCATGTACTCCATTTCGAATAAAAATTACCTTTGCTAATGCATCAGAGTTGTTGGCTTTTCATTTCTCATTGACCCTCAGAGAAATAACTGAAAATAGTAATTAAATACCCATAGGAATACGATTTAAATCGAAAGAGAAATTCTAGAGGGAATTTGCAGCACCCTATGTTTGCTAGCAGCCAGTCTTCATTACAAAGAAACTTCCACAATAAATTTTAGAAATTGAAGACAGGAAGGCATTTCTGAACAAAAGTGTATTAATTGCAATAGCATGTTTTAGCATAGAGGAATTTGCAAACTGATTACCTAACACAAATGTAACCTTAAATGTTATTAACTGACTTGTATGTACCAATTGATGCTGCATAAATTATGCGCTTTTAATTGATCAGTATGCAGGGTGAAAATTAGGGCACAATTACACTGATGTGCCAAGTAATGAAGTCGTATCTTCGCGAGCTCTGCAAAGACATTACTATCTGTATCATCGTTAAGAGGTTGCTGACCACAAGACCAGGCTACTGGGCTCACAATGTTGCCATGAAGCACTACATTATTACATTTCAGCATTATTTCCTCCTTAATTAATATGGTGCAATGAATATTCCCCTACCAAAGTTTCATTTTAAACCACTAGCCGTGCCAAAACTTCCTGAAGTTAATTAACTTGATGCATATAGATCTAACAATTGAATCGGCTCGTGCGAAAACCGCTAATGTCCATTTTTTTCAATTTTGAGATTTTTGGGTTAAAATACTCTCGGAGGTCATTAATGGTGTGAAAATGTTTGTTCCTTAGGTTTGAACCCCTTTTCAGGGGGGAAGTGGTCCGAATCATGCGAAAACCGCCAATGTCCATCCTCCGATATATGCCTCATAACACTGTGCAACACACCAAAAGAAAAAAAAGTCTCCTGGACGACATAAGGTGATCTTCATGTATTTTGAGGCGCTGAATCCGAATATGATCTCCGTTTTTTCCATCACCCTCAACTTTTCCGGAAAAACCTAATTTACTCGGAAAAATTGCCATTTTTGGGCATTTTCGGTGTATTTCCGACTGTTATCCCCTGCAGAATGTAGGTAAAACTTTTCGTAGCTACGAGATTCACGATTGCCGATGTGTTTTTGACTGACAAGTCCGGAAATGACCTTATTTTTTCCCGTTCACCTCTCAGTTTTCCGGGAAAGCAACTTTCTCCCGGGAAAATGAGCAAATTCGACGTTTATATGTCGTGCATGCAATTTATTTTTATAAATTTTCCTGAACCCGTGATAGTATGTTGTTTCTGTATTTTGAGCTGCTGAATCCGAATATGACCTCGATTTCTTTCTATAACACTTCAGATTTCCGGTAAAACCGATTTTTCCGAGCCTAAAATTGTTTATCGTAAAAGGTTTGCCGGACTCAAAGTGTATTCGAAATTCATTTTAAAAATGTCTCCAATGTGTGATACATTGATTCCTTTGTGTATTGAATTGTTGAATTCAAACATGATCTCAGATTTTTCCGATCACCCATCATTTTTCCGGAGAAGTCGCTTTTCCTAATAAAACGCTCTTTTCAGGTATTTTTGCGATGATTTTCCTGCTTTGAGGAGTTTCAGGAATTCTCTGGTGGGTGATATCGAATTTCTAAGGTCATATTTGGGGTTTTCAGCTCAAGTTACATGAAAATCGATGTATCACACATGCGGAAAATGTTTTGAATTTCCCTGGAAGAGGGAACAGTCGGGAAAAGCATTTGGCCGGGAAAACCGAGCCTAGAGCCCGGAAAAATCGGACCTTCTCGAAAACGGGGGCTTGTCAAAGATGAGTGAAGGTCAAATTCGAGTTCAGTGCCTCTTAATACAGCAAGAGAGACCTAAAGTGGATCTCGGAAAATTTCTGAAACTCCTCAGAGCAAGAAAATCATCGCAAAAATACCTGAAAAGAGCGTTTTCTTAGGTAAAGCGAATTTTCTGGATAAATGATGGGTGATCGGAAAAATCTGAGATCATTTTTGAATTCAACAATTCCATACACGAAGGAATCAATGTATCACACATTGGAGACATTTTTAAAATGAATTTCAAATACACTTTGAGTCCGGCAAACCTTTTACGATACACAATTTTAGGCTCGGAAAAATCGGCTTAACCGGAAATCTGAAGTGTTATAGAAAGAAATCGAGGTCATATTCGGATTCAGCAGCTCAAAATACAGAAACAACATACTATCACGGGTTCAGGAAAATTTATAAAAATAAATTGCATGCACGACATATAAACGTCGAATTTGCTCATTTTCCCGGGAGAAAGTTGCTTTCCCGGAAAACTGAGAGGTGAACGGGAAAAATTAAGGTCATTTCCGGACTTGTCAGTCAAAAACACATCGGCAATCGTGAATCTCGTAGCTACGAAAAGTTTCACCTACATTCTGCTGGGGATAACAGTCGGAAATACACCGAAAATGCCCAAAAATGACAATTTTTCCGAGTAAATTAGGTTTTTCCGGAAAAGTTGAGGGTGATGGAAAAAAACGGAGATCATATTCGGATTCAGCGCCTCAAAATACGTAAGGGTAACTTTCTTAACCGAAAGGCACACTGAAAAATATGCGTTTTTGATGATTTAGAACCGACCATGCACGAATCATGCGAAAACCGCTAATGTCCAGTTTATTGCTGGTAGTTTCGTGATAAAACTTGCTTTAAGTGACGCAATTGTCAAAAATTTCAGCTTTACAACTTTATTTGAATGATAATCTACCGTTTTAATATCTTTACAGTTAATTTTGAAAGTATCAAACGGCTCCAAAACTCGGAGATTTTCAGGAATCATGCGAAAACCGCTAATGTCCTGAGTCTTTTCTTTTTCATTATTCCGTCCCAGACAGAGGAGGAGCTAGAAACTGTAAAGGATCCTTTTCTACAATCCTCTCCTGTAATAATTAACTTCTGAACATTTTTTAATTCCGCAATTAAAAGGCTTCTACAGTTTTTTGCAGTTCTCTCAAAATTAGAGAAAACGGACAGTAGCGGTTTTCGCATGAGCGGATTCAATTAGTATATCCATTAAAGCCACTTTACTACAAAACTGAAGTCTACCAAAATATCTAAGCTCTATTAATCTTTCATTTAAAGCTGGAGCAATCTCATTCTCAAGAAGGAGAGAAGAAATGATTATGGAGTTTTCGAAATTTAGAAACAATGTTGTAAATAAAGCAATTGAAACGGTGTCAATTAGCTCATTCAGTAATTTTTAACTTGTGAATTTTTTGATTAGAAGAGATTTTTTCTTAAAAAGTTTCCTGGATTTTTTTGGACAACATCAACTCACAATAAACGAGTTTGAAGTCTTATATTTTAAGCTCCCATGTAAAACCCATGCAATGATGTGGATTGCTTGAACTGTGAATCCAACCAGGTCGGTAGAGAGATCGTGTGGCAGGAATATTTTCAGAAGCCATCTTGGCTTCCTCGGCGATGTGCATATCAATGGGAGTTCGAAAATTCTTGGTTGAATATCATTCCATAAAATCCAGGAAAATACCTGTAAATTAAGTTTTTTTTTTTTTTTTTTTTTTTTTTTTTTTTTTTTGCTCACTCTTGTTTTCATAAATAATATAATTACAAATTACTGAACAAGCTATTCAACTTTATCATGAGGTCTGTTAGATAAGAAACCGGATTTTGGTGATAACTAGCCCATTGTACGTCCGAATCGAGTTTTCTTGGATTTTCCTGATAGCTGAAAATATACTTAAGAATGTTACATTCACAAATTTGAAAAATTCTAATTAGCTTTGTTGGTACGTGGCTTGAAGTAAGGCAACCTCAGGGGTGTTCTGCGATTTCCAGGTTGACCGAACATATCGCTCATTTTTCGGTCTTGCACTACCTTTTTCAACTCGCATGGATGATTTAAGATTCGTTCCCGTATCACAGCCTATAAGTTTTGTCACCGGAAATTATCGTATCCAAAAATGTAGGATCATTGTTAGAACGTTCAAGAAGCTCAAGGGAAATTGACATTCGGTTGGATTTTCGTTGAGCGGACAACAATCGAGGGACAAGTTTAGCTGAAACTCGATGCATGTCTAAATATTCTATCAAAATTGTATGTTCACAGCCTTTAGAAATATTACACTGTTCAGCAAGCTTGACATGACCATTATCAAGCACTTTAGCCCGCACTTATTCCACGTGGCAAATGTCAGTTGCTGTTGATGATCGACTCCCGTGCTCCTTATCTTTGACAGACTCCCGACCAGTTTTGAATCGTTAAACCCACTCAAAACACTGAGAACAACTCAAACAATGATCTTAGTAAACTTTACCTAGCATATCAAAAGTTTTGGTACAAGGTATACCTACCGAGTTTAAAACAAAATTCAATGTTAAACCTTTGCTCTAACAGTGATCACATGATGAAAATCGCAGAACGCACCTGACTTACTTGTATTCAAGGTGACACGGAATAAACACTGATCAAAATAAACAAAATCTGAGAATCTAACGTTCTTCAGTATGTTACCATCTATAAGGAAAGTCCAAGGAAACCTACTTCAGACGCAAAATGGGCTAGTTATCACCAAAATCTGGTTTCTTATCTAACAGACCTTGATGGTACAAATTTTTCCCCTGTACATTCTGGAAGCGCCCTACTAATGGTAGGTTGATCACAGGTCCTCTCTTCCTCATATTGCTTAAAGGAGAAGTGGAAGTAAAAAGTCTTCGGGTCTGGGATAAAAAATAAAAACACATTTATTTACAAAAATATTAAAAAACAAACTGATTCTTGGTTCATTCATTGCTGCTTTTAACCATTAATTTCCCTTAAAATTATCACACATTCCCACAAAAACGTAAAAGAACTATGGTTTAAGGGTGCTACAAATATTCTTCTACTAAATTTGGGTTAATTAATCCGATTCTCAATTGGTTTACAGGAAAGAGCAATAATATTGTTACTAGAATTATCACATTAATAAATATTCTCTTAAAAGTACAACACGAAATTCATTTCAATCACCAAAAGACCAAAAGTAAATAAAGAGCGAATGAGGAAGTACAACAGAAAATTAGATTTCAGCTTCGTAACAACTTGCTGAAAAGTCATGTTCAGTTCGAAATCCAGCATTTCTGAATGTTCACATATTTCTCCTTGGAATCAAATTTCAACAAGAACATTACTATAGCTGGTGAAACAGTAATCTGAGGCAGTAATCTTTTGTAGAATACACGACAAAGAGTGGTAAGTGAGGAAGAGGATACCGATACCAGTGCACAACATGTTGAACATAACGATAGCGAGACTCCCGAACCTCATATCTTGGACTGCGACATTGCATCTTACTTTAATTTTTAAATATAGAACTATTCAACGTCATTTCTCCAAAACTTCTATTATTTTTTTTCTCTCTGTCTGGAGCAAATTCTACAAAAAATTTTGAGGAATGATGATGATTTGTTCTTTCTTGAAGAAATAAAATAGCGGAAATTAGTAAACACCGCAAACCAGATACATGGTTAGTGAGTTGCCTTGTCGATAAGCAGCTAAGTCACATGTTCTTGTGTTAGATGAGCTTGTTAATGAAAGAACCAATCCTCATTATTAAAAATGCATTTGCGAAAGAGGACCTCTCAGTAAAAGTTGGGACATCAGAGGAAGTAGAGGATAATATTCACTGAAATTTTTCTGTCATTGAGTTGCGGTCCTCCCATTCTTTAAGGATTAAAAAACATGAACTCTGATTGCTGCTTTCGTATGAAAATATGTCAAAGGTATGAGGAGCACTTTAAAATGAGAATCATACGATCAAACACTCATGTTCTTCTAGGAGATTTACAAAAATACATGGACTCGCATCTCTGTTCGTTCCCAGTCTTTAGCGAGACTACATTACACTGCACGTACACGTGGATAGCGTTTTTAAGACTATTTTCATAAATCCCTGAACAGCTTTAACTCAATAAAAGAAAACTGATGTAAATTTCGTCTAGAATTCGAACACTGAGTATGCTGATCGCAGCATTTCAAAATATACACTTAAATTTCCTAGAGAATGTGAGTGGATATTCTGTCATGAAATTTTGAAATATTAGCACCGAATTTTGTTAGTTCCAGAGAGCATTTCTCTGAAAAAATGAACCTTGATTTGAAATGAAATGATGAGGTCGTTACAAATCTAACAATTCATATTGAAATTTGCTAGCAAGGAGAGAACAAGAGCATTAGATTTTATTGAAATCACTAAGAGGAGAGATGGTTGATCACAATACCGTCCAATGATTGGATACGAATGGAGTAAATCCTAAAAGCAATGTAAGATTATTGAACACAATCCACAACGTTAAAGAGAGAGAAGAATTGTCTTGACGAAATCTAATATGCAACATAACAGCTAGGTACTTAAAAAATATGAAAAATTGTCGAAGAAGGTACATTATTATTATTATACAGTGCTGATATTTGTGCCTAATATAAATGACAATCACTACTCCTTTACAAGCAACATTTATAGCTAATTATAAAAGCATGAGAAGGAGCTAATATTTGGATGCGTTTACGTAGAAGAAGTCCATCTGCTAAGGGTTCCCTACGTAAATGGGCCTCTTATGCGTGAATGCGTCCACTGAAAGACGTTCACATTTTTGGTGCACATTTTACAATCAAATTTATATACAGTTCTTCCAAATGCAAGGTGGAGAAAACACGTTTGGGTATTTCAACGGACCACCAGACAAGTTGCGAATTTAAGCATTCTGATACATCTACTACAATCAAAATTTCACATAGAACGCAATTCATGCAAAGAAAATTACTGAAATTACCCTTTACCTAAGTTATCTAATGTTTTTTGATGCATGGATTCAAACTTCCCACTCATAAAAAAATTCAAGCCCATACAAGTCAAATTGCGCACTAAAATTTACTGAAGTCTCAACGGTATGAAAATATGGCAACCTCAATCTCGGCACTTTGGCTCAGCTATTGCACGTTGTTTGTATTTTGAACAACACAGGGGAAGGAACACTGCTTGATTGAGATGCAAAAACCGTTTAAGTGGGCAATTTCATTCCAGTAGACTATTTTTTTTTCTTGTGAACGGGGAGTCGAAAACTCGTGAAACTTAAAATCTTCGAAGTTGGTTTCCTTGCGTAGATCAAGTTTAATGTGAACTTTTGCTTAGGAGGCATAGATCGGAATGCTTAAATTTGCACCCCGTCTAGTGGTCCGTTATCAACAAATATCAAGAGATAATGACTACGACTCAAAGGAAGCAGCTTGATGATTAGAAAATCAGAAGAAAGCAAAAAGGGAAAGTGACAATAATCAGGGCCGACAACATAACCTGTTGTCAGTGTCCATTATGCCAAAAATACAATATTTTTTTTAAAGTGTCACATTTGTTTTCGGTTATATTTACAGAACGAATTATGATCCTCTAGTATCCAGAACTTAGGATGTATGGTATGATTAGTCTGCAAGGCATCATGGAATAACCTTGTGGATAGAATAATATTTAGATAAAAGGAAAAGTTAAAAACTAAAAATGACAGTCCCATTTAGAATGGAAAAAAATGGTTGGGAATCAGGAATGTTAAAAAGTGCATGCATGCTTGCAGCATGCTGAATTAATATTTTTTGGAAGTTTAGTTGCGCAATTCCAGAGAAAATACTTTTTTAATTCTCTGAGCAAAGCCATCTTCGAGAATGTCTGAAAATTTGATTCTGAGGAAAAAATAAACAAAATCATTTTTCTCCTCTTTTCTTTGAGAACTCATGTGACAAATTTTTTTAATCAGCGCTCCGAGCTCAACGTCCTTATTCAACTGGAAGAAATTAAACATTCAAAGAGGAAAAGAAAAGGAAAACCTACCAATACAAAGAAAAGGAAACTATAATACATTAGATAACTGACCGTTATCAGTTTTGATTTTTTTTGAAACACCTAAAAATTGGATGAAAAAAAACCAGTCCTGGATTATTTTGTTTTCACATTTGAAATTAGGTTCAAGTTATCAAAAATCTGCAGAGTTAATTAGTAAAACTTAGCTTAGAGCCATTTTCCAAAATACTGATGGTTTGGCAGTATTCCTGCTTTACATACATCAACTTCGTGCCAGCTCTCATCTGGCACTTGATTGCTTTGGGTTCCTCTCCACGTACAAACTAGCGGCTTCAAAGAGGCTCATTGATTACCCCAACTTGCACCGTTGGCCAATAAAAGGGCCTGAAAAGGCATCAATGTACCTCATGGAGAACTCCAGTTTGAGCATGAAGAAGGGCCTTTGACCATTTAAATATGATCACATTTTAATAAACTATAGAAACAGTATAAAATAGGTACATTATTACTTTACACAAATATATTATAAATCTAGAATTTATACAACTTCATGATGCACCAAAATAATCCTTAGGGCTATACGGCGTGGGTATTTTTAGGTTCAGAAACATTTTTACAAACATAGAGAAAAATAAAACAAGAGAAAAGAGAGATCTGAAAGAAAATCTTAATTTCTTGCTAAAACTTGAGTTCAATGAAGCTTCATTTCATTGGAGGAAGTCTAACGATTATAAAAGGAATCTAAAAACAGAGAGTCAGCCGAGGACTGATGTAAAGATTATGGTCGGGAGTTACGAGCTGCCTCCTCCAAAGCTCTGACTTTCAGTTCGCGTTCTCGGCTCATTCTGAAAGCAAGTAAATTCATGCATTAGCAAGGTCCATGCGTTTGTGGAAAACAAAAAATCAAGTATTCTCAGACAACAGTTTTAAATACTTTTAAGTCTAGCGCAAAATTCAACTGTGCTCCATATCCAACTTGACCTCTGAAGATTCAAAAACAGGGTGTCCATGGGCGGAAATAGGGCCCCCCCCCCCCACAATGCTGCTCGGCCCCTTCCAAAAAATGTCAAGGACCCAAGCTACTAATTAACTCTGAGGTAAAAGGCATATGGAATGTAATAAATATGGGCTTAATCCTAATATCATCGATCAAAGATGTCGGAAAAATTAAAACTACTCGAAAAGAGAGCAGCTTCCACCGAGTAAGGAACACGGAATGTAGTTTGCCTGTATTCGGTTGTGGTTTATCGCGCATTTTAGCGCAATACTTGTTTTCATGAGAGTTAAATTAAAATAAATTCAATTAAAACCCACAGTGAGATACGATATTTTTAAAAACAAGTCAGCAAAATTTCTGTCATTTGTAATATTTAATTCCATTTACTTTGTCATTGAGAATGGCTTTAAATTGCTCCTAAGACATTCCAATTTTCAATAATTTTCCGGGGGAAGCCCCCCAGAACCCCCCTCTGCAGCTGGGGGAGTCCCCCCAGACCCCCCTTAGCCCAAGTTATATATCCTTCTCTGCCCCCTCCCTCCAAAGAAAATTCCTAGAAAAGATTCCTAGTTCCGACTATGAGGGTGTCTAAAGACCCAGCAGAGAAAAATTCGCTAACTTTCCCATGTTTTCCTTGACCATAATGATCAAAATTTCCTAACTTTCCAAAAGAACAATTCGCTTGCTTAGAACTGAAAGGAACAATTATTGTTCTCATTAATATCATCGTATATGAAAGAAACATACATATTAGCCTTTTTCCTTTAGGTATCAATCATTACATTCAGTAAAATGGCAAATCCTCATTGAAAATTATTCCTCCATTCACTACTCAGAGAGTAACTTAGAGCAATTAACCGATAACCAGCCTGAAACACAGTTTGATGTTGTGGGCAGCGCTAATGTTTCAGATGACAAGTTTCAAAATGTTTCAAATTACTGATCATTTTAAAAAATTTCCCTAATTACCCTGACCTGCTGAAATTCCTAGACAATTCTTGGTTTACAGATTTGTACACACCCTGAAATAAATGGCCAGTTTTACTGACATTGCTACACATTTTTTGAACTGAAAAGTTCAGTTCCAGAACTTAAAAGAGACATCAAACTTTTTCTGAAAAACGGTACCCTGACTATGGAATCCATGAATAACTAATGACAGTTTTAAACAAAATAATTATATGAACAGTTTACTAACCTGATGTATTCATCATGTTGAGCTGTGACAAGAGGGTGAGGGAAGCGTTCCCTTTCCAGCAGTATCTGTCGCTGGAGATGCTCATGCGCCACTGCTTGGTGCGCCAGTTGGTCTGCAAATGGTCGGGCCAGGAGATCGCTTGGATGATGCAAGCCTAGAGGTGTGTCTCGAGATGGTATGAGTCCTGGCCGAGGGTATGATGACGCACTTGAAGCTGAACCTATAATATAAATAAAACCATCATTGAACTACAATCTTGAAAAGAAAATACAATAACAAGAGCCTTGAGTAACACATGGTCAGCCCTAGAAGCCTTTTGCAGTAATGGGATCAGGATTAATTCAGAGATGTATTTCCAAGAAGGTCATTGTATTGTCCAAAAGTTAGCCTCAAATCATTCTAGATGCCTTTTTTGGGGATTTTAAATTTGTTCCTGTAATAGAGGAATTCTGGTTGGATGAAGAAAAATTCTGAGTTTGAAAATGGGATGAAAATTTTTAATCAGTGATATGAGGCAGTAAAGTATTTGGTTCTGAAATGTGTCAGTCCTAAGGAAAATCTTTTTCCTTTAATCAATCTAAATATATCTTCCTTTATATTCTAAAAAAAAACCATTCATCTAAGGAGGAAGACTATTTTTCTTTTATTTTTTCCTATTAAATATAAGATGTTGGAGTTTTTTTAGCCAACGTGCGTAAAAAAGTCAGCTTACAGCTGAAATCTCATTAGAGAGGGAAAAAGCTCACACACAAGCACAATTTTCCCTCAAAGAGATACGCTGTTTGGAGCAACACTAGTTACGTCCATTCAGGAAGGCAACTACAGATGCGTTTCGGCCTTGTTGGGCCAATCCTCTGTGCAGTGCAGCCTCCTGAATTTTCTGCTACCAAGCTCGAGAGGTCGTGAAAACCAGCCCGAGACTTGAAAACGAGAATTTTTTACGCACGTTGGCTAAAAAAACTCCAACATCTCGTCTTTCGACCCGTGCGTTCACCGCAATTGGTTGGTATTAAATATAAGTCTGGAAGTCACTATGTGCATAAATTTTATGGGCTGTTGGATTCAGACTGGATTTCATTGCATCTATTCTGTTATAGCAAAAGTATTTTGATACCCTCAGATTTGTACAACACAAAAGGACCATGAATTATTCTATTCTTTTAACTATGAGGGTTAATCTATCAAACAATTTTTGAGAACACTTCAAACTCATACTTGGTTTAGCTTTCCAAGTGCATGATTTAATGGGCAAAGGGATTGCAGAGGGGAACCATTGCGATGACACTGTTTTCAAAATCTTGCAACTTCCTTCCTTTAAAAAATACAAAATAAATGTAAATTCATCTTTACACAATTGTCCTTTAAAATTGAGAATTTTTGGTAAAAAAAAGGGAATTTTATTTAAGATTTCAAACATATTTTTCAGATAAATGTCGTGAAGTAAGATTTTTACAACCTTATAATTGCGTTGGTTCCCTTCTGGTAAATGAGATTCACTTCTTTGCAGTAGGTGCAAACGAAAAACTACACTCGGCAATACTGCTAGTCATAGAGGAGCAATTCTGATTAATAATTTTTGACAGAAAAACAAGAAAACTGTGTGCAGCCATTTTAAAGGATAAGCATTTGTTATAAAAAACTCAGTTATGATACTTTTTGATGAGACATTCAAGTGAATAAAGAGAAGAAACTAAAAAGCATGAATATTTTTATCCTTGTTGAATATGAAGGTTACAGTGCCTTGATGTGAGACTAAATGTCAGTGAAATGAAAAATGTTTCTCGAAGTAGTTTCCTATAAAAATAGGAAAATTCCAAATGAATTGAACGAAACTCTGTTGGTTATGATGAAGTAAATAGAACATTATTGGGCAAATAATAAATTAAATTCCTGATCAGTTCACAAATTATACCACAGGAATTGCACGAAGCATTGAACTGTTCTGATTATTCACCAGTTAAAAAGTTAAAAAGCATGAAAAACCTTCTATTCGTACTTTCGAACAACAACGAAAATAAGGAGATCTTTGGTAGCTTTATTGCAGGAATGAGGGTTCTTTCTAAGTATGCAAATGATACAAAAATATCTAGGTCTTCTTTAAAGCTGAAAAGTTAATCGAACAGTTCAAAACCACTTAATTTTTTTCAGGATCAAAGGCCCAGTGAGAGTCTGGATTTCAATCACTTTCTATGAAAAAGGCCTTAAAATAATGTGTTTTTTCTTTGCTTTGAAGGCTAAAGGTTATCATATGACAGTGCTTTCCTAATTCCGATTGGCTTGATCATTTCAATAAAATTAAGCGCTATCTGCATGGAGGGACGGAAGAAACTATTTCCTAAACACAACCGAATGAGGACATGATGTCTTTTAAGTTCCTTCCTCAAAACAGATAGATCACCTCTGTTTAATGATGTCTTTTGAGTTGTAAACTAGTATAGGAATAAAACTGTCAATGCTATCTGTGTAGATAGAAGTTGACGATCGCTGATTTAGAGGGAAGGAGTAAACATAATGAAAACAAAATTGTCAACTTCCTGATTTTAAAACAATGAAAAGTAGATTATTTGCTCAACTGCAGAGACAAATTGATTAACCTTTCGAACTAGGTTGCGAAAATTCACCAGCAACACGCAAGCATGCGAATAATTACATTTAAAGGAAGCATAAGCTAGTATCAAAAATACATTAACTGACCAAAAGAGCGAACTTTACACTAGGAAAACTTTAAAAACCGCAACCAACTTTAAATGTTAAGCATGCAAATAACAGACTGAGGTATGCAAATTAAGCTTGAACATTTAAAGCTTCACTATTCATCTAAAAGAGTGATTTTAACTGCAAAACCAGACAAAACCAAATTGTATAGAATAAAATACCACCCCGATACCAAACACAACATTATTTTCTTGTGACTTTGAGAGCCTTAAGGCCTGAGTCACTTGAGAATTCACACAACTAGTAATGAGAGACAGTCCCACATCCTAATTATGCTGTTGGACAGCTGAGGGCAAATGAAAAGTTAAATTCTGAATTGCATCTTATGTTGTAAGATTAGAATTCAAAAAACAAAACAAAAAGGAGGTCAGAAAATCCTAACAAGGAGGAGTCAAAATAAAGACAGAGCCAAAGTATATGAAACTTAGGAGACTTTTGAAAAAATTGCTGGCTGGGGTCGAAAAATGTGTTTCTCTTTTGCAACATCTCAAAAGTCCTTGCTTATGTTTTATTCTTTGACAAAAACGAACAAAAATATCTTTAGGGGTTTTTCTGTAAATAATTTTCGATGCATAGAGAATATCCAGAAATTGCATAGAGACTATGATGGGGATTCTGTTTGAAAAATGAAATACATATGAGAGATTTGCAACACCTCAATCGAAGAAACGCATTTTTTTACTTCAACCAAATTAGATTGCTGATTGAACAGTTCAATTGTTGAAAAAGTAACTGCAATGTTTCAAATGTACATTTCACGATAGTGGAAAGCTAATGTAACCACGGAGGAGGTTGAATTAGCATATTTTTATTGTAAAATCTACATTGAAACATCGCAGTCACTTTTTTCAACTACAAAATTGTTAAATCAGCAATTTAATTTTTTCCGTGCATTGATGCTTCCTGGGCTGAATTGAAAAATACATTAAAATTGAATCTCGCTTGACCAGAGGAAGAAATGTTGTCCAAAAGCCATGTATATATAGGCAACAAAGCTTCAAAAAAAAATATTAAAAAATAAGTATCTTGATCTGCCACATTTTAAGATTCCTGCTACATTTGATTTTTTTAAAAAGATGAAAATTCATCGTCATGCTTTAAAACTTCCTGTGATTTTTCTTCTCTGGGAGAAGAGTGGGTATCATGCAAAGTTTTCAAGTGATTCGATTAACCCATAAAAGAAAAATCATTGCCTAAGAGGAAACAGGAAGATGAAAACGTTAGCCGTAACTAGTTTTGAAGAGGTATTTGAGCTAAAAACTAAACATGGTAATGCTACTAAAAAATTAGGGGTGGTTCCTTCTGTTCAAGAAGATTGGAGGTGTTTATTCTCATTCCAACTCCTCTGAAACTGTCAAGAATGGTTAACTCAGTATAGTAGCTAAAATGTTTCCAGTTAGGAAAAAAGTTAGGAGGAACAAATATTTCAGACTGATGAAGACAATTTAGATGGAGCGTACATTGATGGTTACACATGGTCAAGTCTAAGTACTCACTACAGACAGACTTATGAAGTTTAAAAATGTCTAAACTTCCTGAGTACCCATACAGAAGGATTTGGCAAAAGACTTCTTAACAAAGTTTGAATGGCAAGAGCAAGTACCAGGAATATTTTTTATGCTGCGTTTGAGAAAATTCTGGGATGAAAAAAAAAAAATTCTAACAAATGGTTTCAGAATTTACTAACTTGAGACTTCAGTGCTGAAAAGCTAAAAGCAACTCTTCTTCTTGGTGGGATGTATTCATTCAGCCCACCAAGTTTCATTGACACTCCTTTAAGATTTAAGTCAAAAAAGCAAAGAAAGACAACTGATGTAACAAAACGTTCACAATGTAAAAATGAAGGAATAAATATAAGAAAATCAAGAGGCGTGAAATCCCCCCCCCCCCCCCCNGAAATGACTTATTACTAAAAAATAAGTGAAAATGAGCCAGTTCGGAATTCAGTTATGCCTCCGCATTTATAGTCAATCAATATCAATTGAAAAGGGGTCAATGAAATTGTCATCTAATTCAAATTACAATCGTTAGTTTGTAGTTTTTAAAGTTGCAACTTTCTTAGCTTTTTGGACGCTTTCAGTTTAAATCACTGTGCATAACCTAAGTTTTCAGTTTTGAGTTGAATGGAGCTGGAAGAAGCTTGAAATTGGCTAGGGATACATGTGTTACTAATTTTTATGGTAAAAAATAAAAAGCTAGCTAAAGTTTTGATTAATTTGCACAAAAACACACCATTGAATTGGAGATATTGATCATGGGTGAAAAATGAATAGTAAAAAGTTAACATTAAATCATTACTAGATGTTGGAAGACTGGTGCACATAACACTAAGAACCAAATGTATAAAAACAAAAACATGTGAATGGATGAAAGAATATAATAACATGGTGAATGGCAATTTAAAAAAAAAAAAAAAAAAAAAACTTGACTAATTCGGAGCAAAGCATAAGCAGTAGAGGTCGACTGTTATTTCAGCATTCAATGGGTAGTTAGAATACTTGGCAAATGAAAATTCAATGCGTCATATCACGCTAGATGTTGAAAGCTGAAGTGGTATAAACTCATTGCAAAACATTCTGACTTGTAATTGACAAAATTTAACTTTTGTTACTAGATATGCATGTGTCCATGGAAACTTCAGTAAATTTTCTTGGAAGATTTTGTAAAATTATTCTCAATTTTGAACAAAATATAACTGATTAAGCTCATTTGGAGGTATCAAAAAGAAACCATGTACATTGCAGTGCTTCTAAGATTATGCGACTCCTTTGTGGTGAAAACTTTTAGAGGAGATTCCTTCTTTAATTCATACTTTTGTCCAAACATTCAGGCTTTAAAGTAAGATATATGAACCCATTACTTCAGCATCACTGTAATAGAACTGGCTCCCTTCTGCTCAACCTATTCTATTTGTTGATGTTTCAAAGACATATGTTGTTTCCAGGTGGCAATAGTAACACTAAATTAGAATCCTAAGATTCAATTAAACTCGCAAAACATTCCTGATTCATGTAGTGGTTTTAAATGTCTGCAGTTGCTTTTATATTGTTTACATTTGAGATGAGAAAAAAGGCAGGAAAACCCGACAGGACTAAATGCTAAAAATCGTTAGTGAAACTGCAAAATCATGTTCCTCATTTTGTGACCTTGCGATTTTTCTATCACATTTTGAAAGTATGATCAACTATCAATAACTTAGAAAATGTTAAGTGCTCCTTTTTTTCTTTTCAAAATTATTCTCTGAAAATGTTGTGCAAAAATGCTCAGTAAAATTAAAACATTTACTGGCAGAAATGTTGAAACACCCCAATTTAGATACGTATTTTACACCCTCGACATATCGGTAGTGAAAACTGAAAACATACACTGACTGTGAAACTTCTAAACGACGTATCTCGCTTTGCAACGCTGCAGATTTCCTTTCATACTTTGTTTTTTAACTGAAAAGCTACTTGATTTTAAATCTTGAAACTCTCAGTGATTTTTCTTCTCTGTTTGAAAAATACTCTGTGAAAATTTCAAGTGACAATGTTGAGTTGTTCTCTTTAAAAAAAAAAATAAAATGACAGATTTTCCGACACCACAAGCAAAATACGTTGTTTGAGAGTTTCACCGTCGATACCTCTGTATACCTAATGCTCCTGTGCAAGGGAAGTAGTTCGTAACTGCAGCTTTTACGCAGAATAAAAGGTGATTTTGGTCATTGAGCCTCGGTGACTTTTTAAAAGCAGATTAGGAAGCAACTTAGAATATCAAACGCTTAACACATTGGTTATATGCTACTAAAATAAAAAACTAGCCACAGAATAAAGGAAGACTGCAATCTAGGATAACCAACAGAATTTCGTTTTAGTGAGTCGGGGAAATGACAAATGCATTTAAGTTAAAGAAGCCATTTGAGCACAATCGGAGTAAGAAAATGGAAATCATAAGCATCCAAGAGGAGTTCACTGGCCCCCTAAGGATACTGTTTCTGATATCATTAGAAACAAGAGCTTCGGTGGATGTTTAGTTAACTCCATTGTAAAAAAGGGAATACAATTTTCCCTGCAACCTTTGAATCACCCTAAGAGAAAACTGCGAAAACTCCCAAAGTTGTCTATACAGGCTGAGCAAGTGCAGAGATAAAACATGGTCTCATTGTGTTGTGCATTGCTAAGAGTTTCATTGAGATACACAGTAGCCCCAAAGCATCACATTTGAATTCACAACAGGACGGTCTCAAGCTTAAAAAGTGAGTTAATTTTAAAATAATAAACAGTAAAAGAAGTTGGTGTACTGGGAGAGGCCAGTGCTTCACAAGGTTAGGAGTAAAATAATTAGTAAAAGTAAACATCATTTGATAGAAAAAGACCACAGTAGACTCAGATGCTGTCAGTTTTCTTTGGACTAACGTTCCTCACATTATGAGAGTACTTTCTTTTATAATTATTTGCTGACAGGTAGGAGAGGGGGTTTTGCTTTAGATATTTTGCAAGGATCAAACAATTTCGAATAAAATTGGTATCATTGAATAATATGTAGGCCATTTCGTGACTAAAGCCCACGTCACCTGATGAAAGTAGAGCTCTCAAAGTGATGTCACACACCGGTATGTGGCCCTACTTTGAGAGCCCTACATTAATGGACCACTAGACAAGGTACGAATTTAAGCAATCTGATACATGTTTCTTAACCAGAATTTCACGTAAAACACGATTTACACTACAAAAATTACCGAAATCAACGTCTAACGAAGATATTAACGTTTTTATTTCGCACTGATTACGAGGAATTTGAACTGCCCGCTCACAAGAAACTCAAAGCTCTACGTGAGTCAAATCGCGCACTACAACGGTTTCAGCAAGCTTCTCAATCGAGCAATGTTCATTTCCCACCATGTGTTGTTCAAACTATTGGTAATTTGCTGTAGCTGAGCCAAAGTGTCAAGATTGAAGTTGAAGATTTTTACATCGCAGAGACTGTCATGATAAACATTTAGCGCGCGATGTGAATCACGTTTGAATTTTCATGAGCGGGTGGTTTGAATTCACGCATCAAGAATCATTAAATATCTTCGTCAGGAGTTGATTTTGGTAATTTTCGTTGTGCGTATCGTGTTCTACGTGAAATTTTGGTTGCGAAACATGTATCAGAATGCTGAAATTTGTACCTTGTCTAGTGGTCCATTGTGCATTATGGGTTTGAAAATTTGATAACAGAAAACTAAGTAGACTAATTCTAAAATCGGGGGTCAAAAAATTATACAGATAGGGGCAGAGCTGTGAGAGAATATTACATAAGGAATCTATAAAAAGTTACTTTCCAGTTTAGGAACTTGTGCACAGAAAAGAACTCGAAATCCTAGGACTAAAAGAATTTTCTCACTTTCCTAAGCCTTTCAACTTTGAAGGCTGAAGGGTTGCAAATTTAGATACTGCTCTCTTTAAACTTTCAAAAGGATTTCGAAATTTCTTTCCTGATACGATAAAAAAGTACCAAAATACTTTGGGTGAAGCAGCATTTGTTGACTTTAACTGGGCGATCAGCTGATTTCATGGTGGTTTGTGAGGGAGAAACTTGTTGAAAAAACACTAGAGTTCAGAATAGTTCTTAAGAAACCTTGAAATGAGAATTTGATGAGAATGCAGTTTGACCTTTTTTCGTCAAGCTGCGTCGAGAACATAAATCGAAATTACATTGAAACCAATCATATGATTTTATATATTACAGGCCAACTTTATATTTTTAAATTCATTTTGTTCCTAGACATCAGCCTTGAAAAACTTGAAGATAGATCTTTAAGGTTGTAGCTTCAAAGAGCAAAGTTAAACATAAGGCATTTTCAAAAATTGGCAGATACTGCCTCCAAGTTGCTTTTTTTAACTGGTTTGGATTGAGCCAATAAATATTTGGATTTTGCAGGAAATGACAAGGTAGATTCACTACACTCTCTAAGAGTCATTATGTCACCATATTGCCGAAAATTTTACAATGCAGAGAGGAGCATACATTAGATTACTTTAAATAATACATACAAAACAAATGATAAATGGCCAAAAACAGAAAAGACAAAAATGACGAAAGCACACAAGGTGAATTGTGACGTATAATTTCATGTTCGCACTTAAAACTTCGGAAAAAGTGACAGTTGTAGAAACATGAAGCAAAAGAGGGTCATTTACTCAGCAATGTTCTGGACTTGACGGATTAAGAGAAGAGCTCTATTTACAAAAGGCATTAGAAGAAAAAACCATAACTGTCAGAGAATACTGTAGACTGTGTATTGTCTAAAAAACTCTTTGTAGGTAGCTCCCTTCTCCTCAACTAAAGCCAAGTGACAGAAAGAAGTAGTAATATCTAAGAAACAGAGCCAAAGAACTGGACTACATTTTAATCATCTTGAGTGAAATGTACTAATGCGCTGTTGCTAGAAATTTGTCAATGAAATATTAAAGATTTTATGAACAATTCATATTCTTAATGGCTCATTGTGGTGTTCAACTAAATTTTTCAAGTAAAAAGGAAAATCAAAGTGCAAATAATTCCGTTTTCCTCCAAAGTACCACTTTGGGTTCTTCAGCTCTAAACTATACATATACAATACATATTATCTTTAAGATGTGAGGCAGAATCCACAACATACTACCAAAAATAACTGATTTCAACAAGTCCTATCCAATAGATAAGTTTGCTCCCGAAATCAAGTCTCTTCTATACAGAGCCTCTGTTCATTTATATCCATTCAAATTTTTGCTTTCAAGTCCCATCTGGAGAAGAATCAAACCAAATGGCTTGATTGTCATAGGGCTCTATATTAGTTACATGGTCTCCCTCAAACGACTGACTGTGACGAAAATCAGTAGATCAACCAAACTAAAGTCACAAACGCGTTCCCCATATAGACAAACCTGGGAACGAGAAGAGCGATGCTTCTGGAGGCCCGTGAGCATGGCTCGGGATTGGGACTGGGAGAGGTGTTGGCCCGGGCTGGGACGATTGCTCCCTTGAGTGTAGGTGCAAGTGCGAGTGCGAGTGCGAATGAGTATGCGCATGGTACTCAGGCGTGATACCGGCCATCTGGAGTCGGACAATGGGGTCCGTTGCCAGCGCTAGACGTTCTGCTTCGCTCGCACTTGCCACATTCGGTGCGGCTCCTCCACCTGTTCATGAGAACAACGGGTCAGTATGCGCTTCTGCTGACCGAAGCTTCACCTCTAGTGGGCTGCAGGGGTGCAGAAAGTTTGAGGAGGTAGCTGCTTCCTCATACCGCTACTTCTTCTACTTTGTCAATTTTTCACATTTTTTCCTGACTTTTATCATTCCCTCCAAATTTCCAGATTTTCCAACAAATTTTTGCTAAAATTTCCAAAGCTTCTACAAAAACGAGTGATCTTTTCCATGGTCTTAAACCGCTTGCCATAAATCATTAAGGTAATCCTCACATACTGCAAGAATAGACATTTTCTGCACCCCTGGTTAGTCAATAAGCCGAAATTCCAATGGAAGGTATTATACCAAGCGAGGATAATTTTCTCCAAAAGTTTTAATAGTAAACTTAATTGTACAGGCTTAACTAAAAAGTTTGGTAAAAGAGGCATACCGATCAATTTAAGGGAGGAAAATTCCACTCAACTGACGGAGGTTCTTTTCGGTTACTTACCCAACACCCAAGCAAAAGAAAAAAATGACTATAACAATGATCAATGAAGACCTAGACTCAGACTAAAAGAGGATTAAAAGTCAAATTGTCCCTTTGAGAAGTGGTGAAATACTTAAACTCACTCTTATAGAAACTTAAAATCATCAGCTAAGTTACTTACTTTCTAACTAACATAATATACCAAGGGGTATGAAATGACAAATATTAGCTTGAGGTAGATTTTTAGCACTCTGAAGAACGATTTGATGGTCCATCAATCAATCACTTTAGTCCATTGGATATTTGTACAAAAGATTTGTCCGAGAAACATTTTGAAATAGCTTTAAATGTACATCCTGAGTGAATAGTGCAAATTGAAAGGCAAAACGAAGTGCGATATTCACTTGGGATGTACTTTCGGAGATGTTTCTCCATCAAATCTGATGTATAAACATCTAACAGACTACAGCGTGATAAGACGCTTGGACATTTTTGGAGAAATATTCTAGAATTCAGACAATATCAGTAAATCAATTAACTATCGAATCGTTCTCCAAACAGCTAAAGATCCACCTTAAGTTACAATTTCTTTTCAGGAGCACAGAATATTTTAATCTATATTTTTTTGGGCATGTTTCAAATGAATGAAGAGCAACACCCCTTTACAAACAATCTCACTAGTGCTTAAAAGTATACTTCAAACACCTTTTCCAAAAAGATGACTTACAGTGGAGTTATACTGCCATGCTAAGGAAGAACGCCGTATGAATATTCGAGAGTTGCCAGATTTCCATCGATAAAATGTTTATTTTAGAGAAAAGTTATGCATATTCTCTCTTGGAATTTTCAGATGTTTGAGATGAAATTGCTGACAAAAATGCCTGAAAAATTGGGAGAAAAATATCCGCAAGTTTACCAGGAAATTCGTGTCTTATCAAAGGGAATTTGGCAACATCTGAAGGTCCATGCAGCATTTTTCCTTTGCATGGCAGTATAGAGCTAGCGTGATAAGTAAACTGTCTAAAGTGGTGAGCGATAATAATGTCTCTTGCAGCTACACCTGCTGCACCGATCTTATGATGAAGAAACCTGAGGGGGTTTGAAATGGGAAATAGGTACTTTCCTACCACCTATCACTGCATACTGTTTTGTGAGTATGCTTGCCTTACAACTCGACTCGACTGAGCTTTGTTCTTTCCTGTCACGGAGGAACAGCCGAGTTATTCAATTTAATGAAGAAAACAAAATGAATTAAAATTAAAAACTAGCAAGTGCATCTACAGGCTTCAGGAAAAAACAAACTTAAAAGGCTTTAAAAAATGTGTATGTACTCTGTCTTGGATTTAAAAAAAGGGGATAAAATCAAGCAGGATAGAAAAAAACAAATCTTTCATTAAAATTTTACAATAGAAGCACTTTTCTTTTGATTTTCCCTGGTGACAAAGCCCTGTAAATACCCTGCTAACTTACTTCACTAACAATTACAGACAGCAGGACACAATTTTATTGCAATCATGAATCAGTGAAAACGACAGTATATTTACTGGTTAGGATCCATGTGCTTCCAAACAGCAAAGACGTGATTGAACTGATTTGGAAACCAATTGAGTTACTATTGACAATTTTTTTTTTTTTTTGTACGTAAAATTTGATGATAATTGAATAGCTGAGTACAGAAAGGGCACTTCTCAAATGCAGTGTCTTAAAATTATCCCTCAAGTTTCATTTATTATGATCAAAGCAAATTTATTTAATTTGTCGGAACTCCTGCCGAATATTCTTTATAAATTTACGACGCTCCAATCAAAAAATTTCAGATAATGAACCAAACAGTTTCCTTTCGGAAACAGAGGCAACTCAGAAACACCGCAACTGAGAGGCGCCCTTGCTGCAATCAACAGCTCAATTGATAACTAACTCTTCAAAAAAAGTCACACTGAAGTCACCTAATAATAGTTTAATGATTCACAGAAAGTCACACTAAAGTCACCTGATAAAATTTTAATGATAAAAAGGGCCGCTCAAGCTCTGCTGGTTGTCGGCTTTTTTACAGTAGACAGAACACAAAGATATAGTCAGAAGGAATTACTGCAATGGGCCTGTTGCAAACTTTTGCTAGTGGGAAAATAAGAGTTGCTTTTATCAGTAGATGTCTCAAAAATCACAATAAGTGTATGGGCAAAGTTTGAAATGCACTACTTACTTCACAATCTGAGTAATAAATTTGTGTTTTTTTGAGTTTCCCGCTTCAAAAACGATACTACCGCACAGATGAGCATTTTATTACAGATGTCATTCTATCCAACCCCTGTGCACTAGGATACTATGCAGTATTCAACGTGGCCGACACCAATCCGCCTAGACATATGTGCCTGGACGAGATTCTAACCATTTATCAACAACCCAGCATTTTTACAATCACGATTTTTCCGGGTTAATAAAGATCCACTGTGGTTGACCTTGTGCTCCCGATTGCGATTTGCATGCAGAAGCGTCGGCTATGTTGGGTATGGCCATTACGAAAGGGTTGAATGGAAAGACTCCTCTAACACAATGTTCACCTGTGCTGCAGTACCGTTTTTGAAGCGGGAAGCTCAAAAGAACGAAAATTTCTTGCGCAGATTGTAAAATTTGGAGTGCATTTCAAACTTTGCCAGTGCGCTCGTCGTGATTTTTGAGACATTTACTAACAGGAACAACTCTAATTTTTGCTCTTGCAAAAGTTTGCAACAGGCTCATTTGGCAATGTTAAAAAAAACTGATTCAAACAAACAACATATTTCAAAGAGAGGTAGTACCGAGTGAATTCGACAAATTCAGTTTTCATGCTACCAAAACTATTTAAGTTAGGCTGGTGTGAGCCATCAGTGCACTTCTGTATAATTTACGCGGTACAAACTCAGAACCTAGGACTTAAAAATAGTAATGAGGGGGACAGAGTACTCCAAGGGTGAAACTGCAGGACCGCATATCTTCGTTGCAATGTTTCAAAAACGCCACTCCCAGTCTATTTCCTCGAAGAGGAACAAACCAACGTTATTGCTTGAAGTTTTCACAGAATGTTCATTGCACAGAGAATAGAAATCAGAGAAGTTTTCAATAAATGGCATTCACCATTTTTCAATTCAAAAATAAAACAAAGCATGGGGTCTGCAATGTCTCAAACTAAGGTATGTGTTCCTGCAGTTTTAGTGTCGACTTGGTGCTCAGTATTTGAAGTACTCATTTAGGCACTATTACAATCCTGAAAACACTTGCGAGCCAGTATTGCTCTTAACCAGATTAGGAACAGAAAAATAAGAGAATGTAGAGGATACGCAGTGAAAAAGAAAGAGTTTGTAATTCCTTGGCAGAAAAAGTGACCATATTTACATCGAAGAAAGAAGGTAAAAAAGAAGTTTAATCAAAGGATGGAAGTGGCTATATGACGAAATAGCCACTTCCATCCTTCCATCCTTGGAATTTGTCTTAATTATGATGCACAGAATTTTCTGCTGAAACTTGCCTGTAGACCCACTTCGAAGTATGCAATATTTTACATGTTACTGATATTTTAAAATGATGAAAACTTTTTCTGGCTGATAAGAAAAAGTTAGGCCATTTTGATTTGTATTTCACCTCTCATTTCACTACAGGAGGTAGAATTTTATCGATTCTTTCACTTTCAAAGGGCAATACTGCTTTTAAGATTAAGTTCTTACTTCATTATGCTCTGATTAATCTTAAATAATTGAGATTATTATGAATTCAGATTTTCTCATGAGCAGGATGATCTCCATTGGACTCAAACATTAACCGACAAATATATCATTAATTTTATCATAAAAATGGCGGTCAACTTTTCTTTTGGCAACCAAGTGGACTTGCTATGGACTCAACATAAGACCTCATGTCAAAATTTATCTGTTTTTCCACGGAATGTAAATGGATTTAATCCTGCTTGAGGCCTACACGCAGAGTACAAAAAAATTTGACGCACACTAAATTTCGAGATTTTTTTATAGGATGTTCCTTACAACCTCCTGAGCATGATAAGCTTTACAAGTTGAACTTTCCACAGGCCGACTTTGAGAAAAAGGACAGAAAAAAGAAATTTGCAGCATTTTTACAAACAGTAACTAGTACAAAGGTTGCACTTTTTATTGGAGATTGAAGAGACCTTTTGTTGCTGAATTAAGCACTTTTGTTGGAGCTTTTCTTCTCAAGCAGGGAAGATATCACAGATGAAAAGAATCAAACTCCTCCGCACAAAGGGAGTTTGTGGCGCAGCGTCCACACACACACATACACTTATTGCAACGGTCCTACATCTCCATTAGAAACTGCATGCAAAAAGGCAAATAAAGTCACTTGTGGCTGGCCACGCATTTTTCAAGATTGACACAAGGGAAGTTTGATTTAAAAAGCTCATCTTACTCAGGAGAATGTAAGGAGCATTGTATTAAATGATGTCAGCTGTATTTATTTCAAAATCCATGCGTATTCCTTGCAATTTCCTTTGAGACATGGTTTTCGGTTTATTCCAGACTATTTACATTGAAAGGAAATATGTGCTTTTTTAAATGAGATCTGCAGTAATCAAGAAAATTAATGTTTCAGAGCTCACTTGAAAAAGAGACATATTTCCTTATAAAAAATTACGATCTAAGTCTCAAGCAAGATTGTTAAAAACTGTTTCCCTGCTCGAGCGAATTTTCAGAAGCAAAATTTTGATAACACTATGTACAACTTCTGGAAAAACACACACATAAAAGAAAGAAAATTAAAATAAAGAAATAAAAATTTAATGACAATAGACACACTGGAAGACGGAGACGGACTCGAAATCTAGCAGCATGCATTCCTTCAAGTCTACTTGGCCTGATTTCTACAACCAAAAAAAGAAAAAAGAGCCTTGATGAAAAATGTGAAAAGGAAAACAACAGTACTTACCGAGCCTTTCAAGTCTCTCTCTTTCTAGAGGATTCAACCCGACAGCCTGATTAGAGGCATTCTGCGACTGAAAGATGCCAAATTGTTGCATCGCGGGAGATGCAACTGATGCACTTGAAGGACCTAAACTTCCATACCTAAAAGGAGATAAAAAAAATTCATACATTAAAAATGGATTTGATTTTCAGTAAAAATACAAGTACAGAGCTCTCTCTGTAAACGAATTGGCAACAGGTTAAGATGTTTTTCATTATGGCAAAATTAGCATTATATCGAGCGGCGCTCAGCAAAAATATGGTGGCATGCAGACTAATCGATTCTTTCAGAGTGGAGAAATTTTCGTCATAATGGATGTTATTGTAGAGAGAAGGCACTATATTCATACTTCACTTTTCCTTTAAGATTTTGTTTACCACATCAAAAACTTAAATAATAGGGCAAATTTATGCAAGTAAAACCATTCTTGTGATGAAAAAAAGAACCAGGGAGAAAGCTGACTGGGCTGAACGATGAATTCACGTTTCTGACCAAAAGAAAAACCTCAGGTCAAACTCAAATGATCAGAATTTGATTAACACATTTTAAGTTTTTGCTCTTTAAAAGCAAGGTCCAGTCATTTTTCAAAATAATTCAATATCAGAGCGGGAATCAACCAAGCTACATTGGACATGCCTAATTTTCTATGGTGTTTTGATTTTTAGAACAGAGAACTTAACAACTTTGAAACTTGAAATTTTGTGAGAATATTCTGTAAAATCTGAAGCAATATCATAGAAAGTTTGAAAGCATTTCTGATCTGCAGCGCTATGAACGGACAACATACAAAAACAGCATTGAAATCAAAATAATCACTTCAAATGGTACGGAAACCAATTCTTTCAACATAAGTCCATCATCCCTCCTTCTTCCAAAGACTAATTATAATACTATTATTCTGATTTCATTAAAGAGGGCAAGCATTTTAATTTATCGATGAGAGAGCAACGATATCTATCCATAGAAAATAATCAATTGACTCTGGGAAGAAAATGTATTCCTTCCTCAGGTCACTATTCTGCCATGCTAAGGAAAAACGCCAAATGAACCTTCAGGCTTTGCCAAATTTTCATTGATAAAACGTGAATTTCCTGGTAAATTTATGAATATTTTCTTTCCAATTTCTCAGATAATTTAGAGCACAATTTCACCTAAAGATTCTGAAATTAAAAAGGAAAAATATTCATAACATTCCTAAAAAATAAACATTTTATCAAAGGAAATTTAACAACTCTTGAATGTTCATACGACATTCTTTCTTAGTATGGCAGTGTTATCAAAATTTTCTGGACTTTTTTTCAACAAATTAGAGACATGGAATACAAGAGGGAATCTGAGAATCAGAGTTTCTGATGTTAATTGTAAAAGTAATTTCAAATGCCTCTGTGTTCTCGCCGAAATGTATCATTTTCTGAAATCATCACTTGCATGTATTCTGCATCTTATCTAAATCTTTGGTGCTCTTGGTGATGAGAAGAAAGTATTCAAAAACTTGAAGATAAAAATGTGCATATTGAGTTGATGAACAGTGAAAATTGACATACTTATTTACTTTTTAATAGTGTTAAAAAATACTGTCGTGAACATGTTGAAATCAATTTAATTCTCAAATGGCCTTGAAAATTTAAAAAAAGAGGGAAAAATTAAGTTCGGGTAAATTTGATTAGACTATTGTCAAGTAACTTGTAGTCGTTTACATTACTTAATAGATTGCACTAACTTTTTATCACAACTAGCCAAATTTTTATGGTAAGAATTTTGTTACACTGTGACTATTCTGGGATAAGCCTCATTGTTAGGTGCTCTAAAAATGGAGTAACATGTATGGGAGTCTTGTCATCAAGAACAAGCCGCGCCAGCCTGCGATTTGTCTTGGCGATTAAGACACAGCTCATTCTAGATGACAAGTTTTCAATACATGTTATTTAATTTCTATCACACCTGACGATTTGCCTTATCCTGAAATGACCATTGTGCAAAAAATTCAGATAACACCTATTTGGTGAGTCATGACGAAAAAAAAAAAAAAAAAGAACGAAATATACTGAAAATAAATTTGTTCGTTCTTTTTCTACAAATCCTCATTCGTTTCCACTTTTCAAACATTTATAGGTAAATCGTTTTTCATGACTTTACGGGCTTTTCCAACCATGGAGATGCCTGCAATAATTGTGTTATCAATAAGGGTACTTGTGATTTCCTAACTTAGAAGATATCTATCCTGTGTCGAACTTGATCTCTTACCTGCGGTGCATTTCAAGCCAGTGTGGATCAAGAGGATTGGCCAATCGCGGGCCTGAGTTCTTGATGTACTCTTCTTTGAACCTATCGTTGAGTTCTCGATCTCGAAGTTCCCTTAGTTCTCTCTCGCGCTTATCTCTCTCTAACTGCTCCAATTCAAGCCTGTAATCATTTAAAATCAGTATTAATCCTTTGTTGAAGCCAAAAGTGTGTGAAGAGATTGTGCATTGATGAATGGATTACACTCTTTATATTGATTTTGATTCTCATACAATTAACTACCCATGAGATGTATACTCTGTTGGCTAGGTCACTTGTCTGCAACAGGCTTCATCATATCACTTCAAGACGATGTCACATACGGTACTTTTGTAAACGGTTGTTGAACCCAGAAATGCAAAATAAAATTTCACAGAAAATTTTTGTTTCACTGAAAAGTGAAAATTCGTTTCCCTTGAAATTCTAATAATTTTTAGTGCTTTTGTTTTTTGTTTTCTTCTTAATAATTTGATGTGGATAGTTTAATTTCGTTATCATCATCTGAAGATGAACCTGCAATGGTTTGGAATAGCTAAAAGTTGAGATATTTTCATTATATTCGGGTCCTAAAAAATGTGAGTTGAACTTCATCTTGGGTTGGAAAATGCAAAACTAAATTTTTTTATGATTGTCTAAAAAGAACTCTGAAGAAATAACTTTTGGAGGTACAAGTTACAAAGCCAGCAGGGGCTACATGATCTCAGGTATCAAATATTTTTGTACATTATTTAAAAACAAAAAAAGAGAGCCTGTTGAAAATTGTTTGATTCTCTTGCATTATGGGCTCATCAGCTCAAAATGAGATCGAAACCAAAAAAAATTACGGAAAACCACTGAGAAGCAAAGTAAAATTAAAGTAACAGAAAAGATGACATTTAATGTCCTAACTGTGCTTGATTGAGGGCAAATATCAAATATAAACTTTACCTGTTAAAAGCAGGATTTAGCTGATAGTGTAAAAGTGCTGGTTCGATACACTGGGGCGGAATACGCTGTAGAGAGACAGGAGAGAAGCCTACGTGTGGTCGAGCAAAATCACTACATGGAAATGACAAATTCAAGATTACAAAGGATTCACAAACAAAAATTACATCTTTTTCTACCAGTTAAAAATATGGTACAATATAATATTAAAATACAGTGTTCCTCTTTCAGGTTATTACTCGAGAAATTTTCAACTTCAAAAGAAAAAAATATTTATTTTTTTTAACTTGAGGTAAAATTTGGCACCATAGGATTTGGCAGAAGATCAATGGGTCAGTGGAGCCTATTTTTTTTCTAATTATTTTTGTGAAATACTGAGTGAGTTGAGCTCTCAGTAATTTTTTCGAAATTTTCTGACTTGAAATGATTGAAAAAAAAAAAAAAATCGATTTTAAAGATGTCAAAATCTGAACCCATTGGAAATGATATTTCGGACAGTCTGCAATGACACAGATACATGAGGGAATCTGTAATTGCTGACTGGCTGAAACCTAGCCGAAGACATGACCTAGTTACATCATTATGACTTAGATTGGTAGATTTTTCTCCCCTTAGAAGGGCTTTTTGCAACTTGCAGATCAACTTTTTAGTTCCTATGAAATTTTACATCATTTTTACATTTTAATCATCATGGACAATTTCAGGTACTCTGCAGAAATGTTACACCAGTGACAATTGTTAAATGCCATATTTAATTGCACCATTATACTGCTAATTTGCAAGCAACGGTTACTAGGCTTCTGAGCTTAGAGTTTAGGAACAGAGGGTAAAATTTATGTGTCAAGAAGACAATCGATATGGCTCATAAAATTTAGGATTAGAAATGGATACCAAATAAATAGATGAAACTAATCTGCGGAATAAATGAATTGACTGTTCTTGACAAAAAGAGAAATTAAGACAAAGTGAAAGGAAATGATGATACAAATTTGAAGCTACTAATGAGATTTGAAAAAATAATTTGGGGCGATTAGAAATAATACTGGTTAGAAACTACGTTCTGCTGAATTCGGAAAAAATAAAAGTTGTGAAGGATGTCAGGTTTTACCTTAATTGCCTCAGAGCAGGTGTGTCAGGATAGCTGGTGCGAGGAGCAAACCTATCGTATGGTGAGGTGACAGTTTCCACGGGACCTCTAGATGGTGGTTTTGCCTCGTGTTTTTCGGGTGTTTGAATTTTTCTTTGTTGCTGTGAGAGAACAGTTGAAAATATGATTTATTAAAAAAAAAGCAAACTGAGAAGTAGTAATAAAAAAAGTATGAGGTGCATTTGCTTTAAGCTTCGGTAAACTTTTACTACTGGTTGTTGTGATAACGATGAGTTTGTGTTGAAAAACTAAAGGACTCTCAGAGGAATTTCGAAAATTCCTCTCTTGCCTCAGGAATGAGAATCTGCCAAGAAGGAACAATTCCTTATTTTTTACAACTATGATTTGCTTGAGGCTAGTGATCCTACTTAGTTACACAAAGTCACAGCATTTTTGCACCAAGCAATTTGAAGTTGCCGCCAAAGTTGGCACTCCGGTGTTCCACACCAGACATAATACATTTGACCCTCTATGTATTTAGATAGAATTTTTTGTTGTTTGTATCTTCTCATTTGTGGTAATTCAAAAATAAAAATGCAACTTTTAAAAACTACCTCTTGAGAATCCATAAAATGAAGTTTGCCCTTCAGTATAGTTCTTGCTACATAGCTGCATGGTTCTACAGAGCTGCGTGTATATTTCTACTTAGTTGCTATATTCTTTCAGTTCCTGTCTGAGTGCTTATTGAGTGTTACAAAGTGAGCCAAATGGGAACTGGAGGAGAAATTTGATTGCAAAAATGGGCGTACACAGCACTCCTTCCTACTAAAGGGCCTATTTTATATTAAAATACAATTTTCTTGACAACTTACCTGTCTGGCCTGTTGTGCTTTCTCCCTTTCCTCTCTTTCTTTTTCTGCCTGCTTCCTTAGCCTTTCTTCCCTCTTACGCGCTAATTTTGAATCGGGCACAGGCTTGAAAGTGAGATCAGTCCGCGTACATGAATTAAAATCACCTCGATTCCAATGCCGTAAGAAACTGTAGAAAAAACAGATCAATTCGCCATTAAATTACAACTCACATTAACAAACTTACATATATTTTGACCATATTAATTCTGGAAAAGTAGTGAAGTTGGGGGAAACATAGCATTTCTTTGTTTAAGTGTATGCTATGTAGGAACAATAATTATAGAAAAAAAGATCAAAAAAGATGTCATTATTTTCTTTAGGTTTTCATTACAAAAACAGACACTGACAAGTCTTTGAAATAGTTGTCTACATTCACTTTTTGGAAACAGCACAGAAATGTACAAAAACTTAATCATACAGGAGAAACCGATCTCTTCAAGCCTACACAGAGGGCAAAGTTAAATTGCTAAATGATAAATGGGATTTTTTTGATACTTGCAAAAACCACAAACAATATCAGAGAATCTTCATATTTCCACTCGGAATTTTTAGTGTGAGCAGAAAGAGATAATCATCGTATTATCTAACGTTATCCTGTAAAATTAATGCAATTCGTTTAGTTTTAGTTTTAAACCATGTAGATGGATACAAGGAAATACTTGCAGTAGTTACGTTATATTTAAATAAAAATTCCTTCAAAAAAAAAGAAAAAAAAGAAAGAGATAAATTCTTGCACCTCAAACAGGGGGTGATCATGTTCTTCATAACTTGGGGTGAATTCACAGAGAGCTTAAAAACATCAAAGGGTTTAGTGTAAAATATGATGAAAGTTTTCTCATCACAATTTCACGTAGAACACGGTTTGTTCAATGAAAATTGTTGAAAATAATTCCTAACCAAACGTTTTTCAATGCATAGATTCAAGCTTCTCGCTCACAGAAAAAAAAATAATCTACTTCAGTTAAACTGCACACTAAACGTAACAGTAATAATCCCTGCAGTGTGCAAATATTGCAACCTCAATCTCTATACTTCAGCTCAGCTGTTGCACATAAACTTTGAATAACACAAGGCAGGGAAGGAACATTGCTTGATTGAGAAGCCTGCCAAAACTGCTGTATAGTGCCCCATTTAATTCATGTAGACTCGAATTTTCCTAGTGAGGAAGAAATTCAAATTCTTCAAAACCACAGCTTAATAAAAATGTAAATATCTTGATTGGTAGTTAATTTTTGTAATTTTCACTATGCAAGTTGTGTCTAAATAAAATTAAATTGAGGAAGAAATATGAATTAGAATGCTTGAAGTACCTTGTCAAAGTGGTGTAAAAAAATAAGAGAATGAGAGAAAACTAAGCAAGGGAAAATGCAGGTGAGCTATTTCCAATTATATCCGTCCAGTGATAAAGATATGGGAGTGGTTGCTTTGACTTACATTGCACTTTGACTCCTATGACATTCTGTATCCTCGATTTTAGGTTCTGGCGAAGGCCCTCTTGGAATGTGATGCGTCGGACTTGGAATTTCTTCTTCCTCTTGTGATTGCATCACCAGATCTTCATTAGACTCAGGGGGTTTCATCATTTCTTGACCCATCCCGAATTCAGGGCTCAAGTAACTTCCAGGTGGGACACCAGGACCTAATCCTGTAAATTCAATAAACAGAGATAAGCAGATCAATTGACAAATATCAGCTGATAAGAAAGATGAATTCTCAAGAATGATGAAATTCTACAGTTTGAATTGAAACCTCTGATTCACTGTTGAATCTGACAAAATTATCACAAATATTTAGCATTGAAAAAGCGATAATCTCAAAAGGACTAAGCAGAGAATAGAGTCAGCATTTCTGTTATTTCTGTATTTTACTCTCAACTTCAAATTTTTGTAAGGAGTAAAAATACGACTATTTGCGCTTGAAACTACTTCAAACTAATTATCCTCCAAAATGTAGCCTCATGAGAAGATTTCATTTTGAGTGTCATATCAGGATTTTGCTCTACATTTATAAAACTGATAGCAAACCCTGTTTTTAAAAGTTAACATTTTAAATTTGTTATATTTACATTCTCATAGATATTTTAGGTATGTTCAGTTTGATTAGGTACATTCTGCCATAAAATGATCCACCAGTATGTTACACGCTCAAAGAAACATGGCAAAATATAATTAACCAAATTTTAAAACAAAGATGAGAAATTTATATCAGTATTAACATTTTTACAGGGGGAATATCATGACACGGAGTAATTTTTCTTACCATGTAATCTTAAAGCATCTGGTGATGTCAGTCCGATTGCTGGCGGCATTGGTTTGCTGCTTCTCCCAGCTGAAAAACATCATAGAATATAAATTAAAACACGAAACATGATTGCCAGAAAATTCTTGAAAGGAAAAAAAAAGATTTAAAAGGAAAGCAAACCTGCCTGATAATGAAAATTCCAGAGTCAGGATTTCAACAGAGTTTCTCGGAAATTATTAAACATCTCCAGGTTTTTCCTTAATCATCAACTGATCAGTCAACAAACGCTACAGAGTAAGATTGCAGCGTTCACCAAAAGGTACAAAGGCTCCCTACTTGGTGAGAGAGTTCTCCTTTTTCCACGCAGCCTTGACCTAGACAAGCTGCAAAGTATTTATAACCATTGCCATCTGCTTGTTCGGATAAAGGAGATCAAAGAAATGGACTTATCTACGTAATATGAGCTACTCGTCCAAGACCCTAGTCAAGTTCTATAATTTATTTCTTAAGGTCTTGGCATTTTTAATAGACTATTGGTTTAAAAATTCTCATATATGGTTTCTCTTCGAACTTTCACAGGAAACATGTTTTGAGCAAGAAGTTGCAGTGATTCTCCTCCACCATGTGTTGTTCTAAATGAAGACAACTTGCAACAGCTGAGCGGATGCACAAAGATTGAGGTTGCCATATTTTTACACAACAGAGACTGTTACCATAATGTTTCGAGTGCAATTTAACTCAAGTAGGCTATTGTTTTTTCAATGAGTGGGAAGTTCGAACGTCTGCATTGAGAGGCGTTGATATCTTGGTTAAAAGTTACTTCCTGTAATTTACATCTTAAAAGTCGTGTTCTACACGAAATTTTGATGGGAAATCATCATAATGCTTAAATTTACACTCTGTCCAGTGGTCCATTTTCCTTCAAATTGATGAATTTAAAGGAAACGTGTTGGAAATTTTGTCCTACTGATGGATGTTTCCTTAAAATGAAACTGAAACAATACCTAATTGCATTGGGTCTGGAGGCGGTGGTGCAAGAGATGTATGATGATGATGGTGTTGATTATGTTGATGGTGATTTCCATGACTTGTCGACAAGGACTGCGATAGTGTTGTGGACATATGGCAGCTTCCCGATGACTGAAACAGCGATTGTTTCATTAATTTGGATTGATTTAGGAAATTTAACAAGATAACAATAATTAAACAAATTTAAAAACTGAAAAAAGGAACAACTTATTACTTAATAACCTAAAAAATTAGAAGATACTGTTCTTTCTAAAGTTTCAAAAATGAAGGGTTTATGAATAATTATTAGGACGTTATATTTCGTAAAATCATTAACTTTCAGAAGTTGATGAGAAAAATTTTGAATGTCACATAGTATGCCTTAAAAGTAAATAAAATAATAATGAAGGACTCATCTAGATGTAACAAACTCAGTTCTTCATTTTAAGGAGGTAGTAATATTTTCGTGTTAGTTTTACACACAATCAGTTCATTTACCTCAAAACTAGAACTCACTTGGGGAAGTTAACTGGTACTGAGAAATAGAATCAATGTCACTCTCTTGAGATGCCATGGAAAAAATTGTCTGCAGTCTTGAAGAGCTACTAAGGTTTACTTTGCTTCCTCCTTGGCTAGTTTTCAAAATGTCTCTTCACATGATAAAACTTACTGAGAAAATTTTAACGTTCGTATCAGGAGTGCAGAAAGTTCTTTGCACAGACACAGTTTGAGGCAGCCTTCACATTGCTGTCTTGCTGTCTGCCTAAGACTGCACACTTTATTATTTTCCCTGCAGAAAACAGCATGTTGCTAGTTTCTTTCACTATGAATACATGATGCACTTGGTAGTTTTCTGCTAAAAAATGATATGTTCACTGGTTTTCTTAAAAAAAAAAAAGTCTTATGCTTTCACATGTTTCTCCCTTTTTAAATGCTTTCACATTTTTCTGACAATCAGTTTTCTAGCACTTTCTGCGCCTTTGGTTTATATTCATAAACGCTAAGGGATTACATAGGCTCAATGGAGCAGCAATTAGAAGAAGGGGACCGAGTGACAATTCCAAAACTTAAGTTAGGAATAATTTGTAGCTCAGCTGGAAGCAGATTTTTGCACTGCAAAAAATATTTAACACGAGAAAATTTTAAATGAGGTTCTTTATTACATTGAACCTTATGCAAGCATACTATTCCTAATCAATGTCACTTGAATTGTTTTTGCTCAGCACTGCCTAAATGAACAAACTAAAGTTCACTGAGAAATGAAAGTGAAAGTTGCAGGTGCACAGTACGATGAGGTTCATAGTAATGAAAGACGACACTCACCTGAGGCAATGCTGGGCTCCCAGTTCGCTTCAACTTATGATGAACAGAACTACTTGAGGTGGTGGAGTGAGATATGGTTTGCTGCTTGTCAGTAGAATGATGGACCGAATGATGCGATGTGGAGGAATGCATCTGGAGGGTTTCTTCTTCCCGTCCTCGCGTTACAGAGGAGGAGGAGGAGTGATGAGAAGACATAAGAGTTGTTGTCTCGAGGTCTCTCTTCTGGTCACCGCGGGATGGTGGAGGAACCGGCTGAGGAATTGCGTATGGGTACCCAGCAAAGGGATATGGATACCCTGCATAGGGATGATACGGACTGTGAACGGCAGCTGCAGCAGCATGGGCAGCCGCTGCCGCAAAGAACGGATGATGATGCATCAATGATGGGTGCGGGTGGTGCATCGATGGCATAAATGCATGAGGGTGGGCTAAATGCCCCGGCGAAACCCGGCTGAGGGGTGACGGTTGTTGTGCGGGATGCATCACAGGCTGAGGCAGTGATGTCGGAGTGCTAGCTGAACTTGTTGGAGAGGGTGCAATCAAGTTGACTGCACTGTGCGAGACTGGTGGTGCTGCAGGAGCAGGGAATGGTGGCGTATGTGATGCCACATTAGGAACAGGCGATGATGTGGGTGTTGTATTCTCCGATAATTTTACGGAGTGGGATTTGGGTGTCGTTGCTCGTATTGGAGTGTAGTTTTCTCTTTCACGCTTGATGTTATCAACAGCTGGGCTTGTCATTAAAGGTGAGTTAGACTCGGTGCGTGTGAACTCATTGATTGCCGGCTGTACAGATGATATCGTTGTGGGTAACAACGGTTGAGAAATTGACGTGGAGCCTGAGTAACCAGGCACCTTCACCTCTTTCAGAGATTGAAGAGGGTCAACAGTGGTTGGCATTTGGTCCGGAGGTAATACCTCTTGCTTGATCTTCAAATTCTGAGGCTCCATCTGAACATTGGAGCTCATGTACGGCGAGGGGCTGTTTACTTTGTCCATTCGATGCATTGGCGGGTAGTGAGGGTGATAGAGTGTTGGGTAATTCGAAAGCGGGACTGATGGAATGTTCAATGTTACTTTTTCAGACCTTTCGCCGGGCTCAACAGCTGGATAAGCTGGAACAAGGATTGAATGCGGAGACTTCTGGACATCTGGCGGGTTATTGGCGGGGAGAACTGGACTAGGTGCTTTTGGTACTTCATTACTAACACTGGTGCTAAGAATCGATTCACTAGGAACAGGCACTGATTCGTCAAGTTTAATACTGCTGGTGCTCATGACAACACCAGTGTCTGGTGCGACCAGATCCCTTGGCTCAGTTTCAGGTGGGATCACAGGAGCTTCATTGAACGGCTGAACCTCGTTAACTTTTGCAGGCTGTGCCTCTGGTTCTAACATTTGGACTGTCTCAGGCGCAGGAGGTATGGATATCAATTGCGCCACAGGGGCACTAGATGCCATCTCGCTCTCACTTACCCGTGGTGCTTCGAACAAGTCTTCTTGTTTGACACTCACTGGATTTTTAGGCGGAGGGATTTCCTCAAAGCCTTTTGGTAACGGTCCCATTCCTGGTTCATAGTTCTTGGTGAGCACTGACAGAGGATATGAATCCTCTTCTTCAACTTTGGGTACTACTGGAGGCAGAAATTCTGTTTTTGGTTCAACAAGAGGCTGAGGTTCTGATGGTACAGGTGGGGCAGGAGGTGGATTTGCGGGGAGTGTGGCGACTGGTGAAGAGTTGGGAGGTTCGCTCACAGCTGGTGCAGTTGGTTGTGCAGCGATAGGATTTGGCAACAATTCCAAAGCTGCTGTTGGACTGTTTGGAGCTGCCATGTCCACATCATCTGCATTTTCATTGCTGCTATCTGACGATTCTGCTGGGCTTTCCAGACGATCTCTTTTTGGTTTCGACTCTTCATCATCTTCCTCTCCTGACTTTTTCCGTCTCTTAACTGGCGTATCAACTTTGAGCTGTTAAAAAAGTAAAGAAATAAGAAAATTAAAGATTGCACAGAAAAGGAAAATAATTTAAATCAAACGGCAGCACATTCAATGTTAAAGGTCCAGTATTTTCTAGAAGCATAAAATTACAAACCTTTTTCTTCCAGATTTCAACTTCATGAGGATTGATTTCTTTCTCCTAGACTTTGTCTAACAATTCACTTATTATGAATCCTCTACCTAAATAGATCTTGCATGCACTGATCCACCAGTAACATAAAATAAATCAAACCATTTACAGAAAATGGAACCTTACTTTTTAAAGGTAATTTTATTTGACAGAGGGACTTCAGTCAAATAGAGAAAAAAAATCAGTAGTTGAATTATCAACAAAAAAACGCTCTGTAATATCAAAAGAAATAAGTTGCTAGCAGGTTAGTTCACTTTTTGGCCAAAAGAGAGCATACAAATGCATGTTGGTGCACAGTAATTTACAATTTTAGGTAATTTTGTTTCGTCAAATTGCTCGAGCAATATTCCTCTACAAAAAATAAACCGTTATATTTTTATTTTTAATTTCAACCTCGGAGCCCTTTTTCAATAGTCTCAAATTGACAACAAAAAACTGACCTCCTAAAAAAGCTTCAAAGAGTTCACAGAAAGATTTTAATAAAGAATAAATCTTACTTTTTTCTTGGCTTTATCACTTGGCGAGCTAGAATTACTCGACGTTCCTGGAGATTTTACGCCACCAGCATTTCCGCCTAGTTTCTTTTCTAACTCAGCATCAGGAGTTGTTGTTCCACTCTGCTTCCCCTTTGATCCCTTCGTAGGCTGAAAATAAAAGTTGACCTATCATGACAAATGAAAAAAAAAAGAGCAGCTACACCCATGAACTGAGAGTTTGAGCTCTTCAACAAGGTTAATGGAAATTCTGATCATAATTAAAAGATTCTCAATTTTTAAAATCTTTCTTTTCTTTTTTAAAAACGATGGACCCTTTGAGTATTTACTCAAAAACCTATCTTAGAATGCACCAAGCAATAAAATAACCAAGATGATATACCTCCCAGCCATTTTTGCGCGAGAGCAGCAATTATAGGTCACTTAAAGGGGGAGGCAAGAGGAAAAATATGAACATGACATCAAAATTAGCTATAACTTCTTCTTCTTCTTCTTCTTCTGTTGGTTTACTGGCTTATATTCCAGATGTGGAACCTAGCTATAACTTTGAATCCTTAGGCCTGAAAAGCACAACTGAGTTGATGATTTCAAATACTGGAACCTTTCTGGTAAGAATATTGACACTGAAACTCCCAAACGGTGTACCTTGGTTTGCAACACTGCAGACTTCCTATCATACTTAATCTTTTGATTAGAGAACTACTTAACGTCAATTCTTATTAAATTCCTTGATAATTCTTTTCTAGATGAAGCAAATTCTGAGAAAAATTCAAGGAATAATGTTGATCTGTTCTCCTTTAAACAAATTGGATATGACCGGAGTTTTTAAAACCCTGCAAACAAGATACATGATTTAGGAGCTTTACTGTTAATACCATTTTTTCTTTCTTTGAATTAGGTGGTGCAGATGAAGAGATTAAACATATTTACCATTTTTTTGGTTTACTCAGTTGACACTCAAATGAATGCCTGGTTCAAGTATCGAAAGATGAAAATAAACTTTAGATTTTTAAATCATCAATTGAATGATTCAAGAATTTAAGAAATACTTACTGTTTCTTTCGACTTGTTACGCGTCCGCATGCGTGAGGGTGAACTTTCCGGTGAGTCATGGTTTTGCACGGGTCTGAATAAATATGAACTGTCTGCTCGGTTGTTGGGAACAGGCGGCAGCTCACCATTCTTTTTGTAGTATGCCCGACAATCGGGGCAGCACAGAGTCCCTTGCTTTGGACCAGATGTGAGTGGTTGGCAGTCTCTTGAACCTAAAAATGGTTTTTAATCATTAAAATTACCAAAAAATCAACCATACAAACCAGAGAACAACACAACGAATAAACATATCATGAGCTGTTATGGTGTGCTTTAAAACATCAAATATTACCATACCATGTCTTGGTTCCAAAAAGTTAAACAAAAGAATCAAACATGTAACTGGAGAGACCATCCATACCTTCACCAGACAGAGCTCCAAAATGAAATTCAAAGCTACGTTCCAGATATCATGGTGCTCATTTTATTCAATCGTTTTATTTTTTCAATCAAAATGGTTCAGTCGGATATATTTGCCACCTCTTCTGTAGAATTTCATTTTCACAAGCCTCAACAGCTCACTTTTAGTCTCGGTGAAGATGTGGCTGAAATACTGTACGATTTTGCTCGACACCACCATTTATTCTATAGAAAAAAGTGAATGCAAACAATGACTTACTTGTGTTAAAGCAATGCTGACAACGAGAGCCACTAGTGTCAGAGTCGTCTTCAGAATTTTCTTCATCACTTCCTGAACTACCACCTTCACCAGCTGTGACACATAAAATATTTATTTGTAGGTTGAAATTAGGTACTTGAACACACTTATTCCCCACACAAAGACTGAAGGGTTTCTATAATTTCTTCATTTTTAATTTTCTGATTTTTGCTCCTTTTCCCTAACTCTAAATTTTTCAAATTCCCTGATCATCGAACAAAACTGCCTTGTAGATTTAGTTTCCTTTTAACTTAACTAACGCTGACTTCTGCTGAACGCTGCTTGTAAAATTCCCTGACTTTCCAGATTTTCTGGATCAAATTTTCGAACAGCATATGCTATGTGTCCTTAGTCTATTTCATATCCCACAAAAGAATTAATATTCTAGAATTTATTTTGTTTGAGTGATGTATTCGTTTTATACCTTCCTTGGTAATTAATTCAAGCACAGTATGTACAAGTCCGCCCCAAAGTTAGTCATACTCTAGATTATGAGGTATCTGAGGCTTAAAGGAAAAAAGTTCTGCAAAATAGCCAAATATTTGAAAAAACTACTTAAAAAATGACCAAAGAACAGTTCTTAACGTAGTTGTTAGGCTTTAGTAAGCATTTGGAACCCTCCAAATTTCAAATAATCATTGTTACCATTATTAACAATCATTAGTACGATTACTTCAGGAGCTTTGTGGCGAGATGCTCAGTGAACTTGATTTTCTTCATTTATCTTAGATGAGAATGGAATAATCCACACTTAAAATCCTTTAATATTCCCATTAAGAATTCTTGTAACTTGAAAAATGCAATTTGCAGACCGGCGCTCATTGAGTGTAATGAACAAACTGTTTTTAAAATTCATTCACAGATGGAAAAAAAAATTTACAAATCATTGCAAATCACAGTAAAGAGAAAAAAAATAGGATTCTAACCTGTTTCTTTGGAATTAGGAGATGGCCGAGCAGATCCGATGCCTGAAACAGAGAATCCATAACATGAAACCAGTTCGGTTGATGAGTGAGATATCAGAAGGTGCATCTGGACAAGGTAAGGGATCAGAGCACTCCTTGAGACATTTAGGAAATTGACTCCCGAACCAGTTACTTACGATTCGTAGGTAGGTAAGTAAGTAAGTATGTATGTAAGTAAGGGCCAAGCTGAATAGTGAGATGCTCTCAAGGGACCAGAGTAAATGGCAATTGCCGACAATTACCTCGAAGTTGGACCATGCTCCTTACTGACAAGTAGCCGCAAGGCTCGGCGGCTATTACATAAACTGACAGTAGGATGTATCATTGCTGAACTGCATCAAATTAAGCCAAAATCAATATTTTTTAATGTTTTGTCCAGACCTCTCAGGCAAATTACCGAACTTTCTCTTGAACTCCAGACCCATCATAAAATTACTTCACTTTTTCTAGACTAATCAGATTTTTCGGGCCTAATGCCTGGGATAAGAGCTATCTGGCTTCAACTTTTTTTTATAAAACCACTCATCAAGCATTTCCACTTTTGTCATCAGCTTTACAGACAAGAGTAATGACTTGCTTTCAGAACAATAATTAGGTTAGGTATCGGGTGAAATTGAGTCTCAGAAATGCTGTAAACTCTATTTTATAAATTTTGATTTTGCTAGCTTGAATCCACATTCCTGAAAAATTTTCTGTCACAAACAGAGATACCTTCATAAATAGCAGCGAAAAACTATCTCAACGTATAAAAGTTCCTTTGACACACTTCAGTGGGAGTTCCCCAAATACGTAAATGATAGAATATCAAAGAAAATAAAGAGATAATAACTTCATACCATTTCCACCGGGTTCCTCTTTGGGTGTTCCGGCCCGTGTATTGCGTGTGTTCCTAATTCTACGCAGAGATCCGCGCCTTCGTCTATGAGGTCGATTATTGTTTGCTCCAGGTGTCTTTTTCCACAAATAATAAAATTCGACAAGTTCCGACTAAAAAAAAAAGAGAGAAAATGTTTATTGGGATGTGTCTTTGATGAAGGTACTATGGGAAAGAGATCTATCTTGTCTCCGGAGCATCAAATTGTCCACTTTTCTGTGGATTCATGTGAAAAATGATCTTATGCGGAAATTTTGGTGATCATTGTTGGCTTTTGACCGGAAACAAGAGAGTATTTCAAATTTGTTGGTTTATATTAAAGCATTACATTATATTTCTTATGTCTACCAATATTGGGAGCTATAAGGTTGATATAGAGGGAATATTTTTAAATGCGGTCAGCACTACTTTAACAAAAAATCACCAATGTTTGTTTTCATGCCATTTTTAATTTGAGGATGGAAAAGATTAGCAGCTTAGGGCCAAATTTACCATTTAATGGAGAACAATTTTCATATAATATTTTGAAGACAAAGTAGAACTGTCAACAAATATATCTTTAACACATTTATTGTAGACATGTTTTTGCATATTTGTTTGCATCCAGTCTAGAAAACCCCTGAAATAGGAAATCTATAATAAAAAGAAAACGATTGAGCTACATTCTGCACCTGGGAACTACTACATTTAGCTTATCGATAAAAGCATCTATCTGCGTAGCGAAACTAATGACTTAAACATTGTTTTTATTATGAACCGGAAATCTAGTTCCTTGTTGCAAAATGTAATCCATTTGACAGGGAACTCTGGGGTGCTAACACTGCCTTACAGTTGTGCACATATTAAGTACTTCATAATTGAATCGGGACGAGCGAAAACCGCTAATGTCCATTTTTCCCGTCTTCAGTTTTCTTGAGTTGATAATACTTTTAAAGATTTGAAACCACCATAAAAGTGATGAAAGGACTCGTTTTGGGATTAAGGTAACCAAGAGACGAGTATTAACGCCACTTTCGTGGTTGCACTCAACTATGAAAAGTATTATCAACTCAAAAAAATTGAAGACTAGAAAAATGGACATTAGTGGTTGTTGCACATCCCGATTCAATTGGTTCCATAGTAGACCTCCAGGTAGTGTTTTCGTCGCTCCATAAGACAAAAATATATTCTGCAGAGTGGGCCGGTCTCTGTGACTGATTTAGCTTCATGTTGGCACCTTAAAAATGGTCACCACGACCAACTTGGCAGTAATTTAGAAGTTCCTTGAAAATTGCTTCACTGTGTTGCATGCTTAACCTAATGCAAGCATTCCCCCCGTTGAATTGCCAAACGGCAGACCTGGGGTATACTTAAATAGCTAGTTGAGTGTAATCTAGACTTTAATTTTGAATATAGACTTTTATTTTCTGTAATAGGTAATAGTTATATTTTCTCATGTTCTATCTTGCTTACTCATTGTCTTAAATCTTTAACTATTCTTGTTGTATTTTATCTTTTTTCTGTACCAATCATTGTGTAAACATTTGCTTTACGAGGAATAAAAAAAAAAAAAAAAAAAAAAAACCTGCAAGCATGAGACTGATTTGTAAAAACTGAACTCGTCAAATTTTAGGGCAAAAAGAACAAGATCCTCCAAGAGTCAAGAGGGAGGAGAAAAAAGATGGTGACAAAAGGATTAACTAAATGGGAAACTTACAGTGTCTTTGTTAGGCAGTAAATCCTTTCTAATACGGAAAAAGTTCTTTCCAAATTGCCTCAAGCCTTTCACGAAACGTTTCTGAAAGATAAAAACAAGGTACTTAACATACACTGTGCAACAAATTAAAGCAAAAAAATGTGACTGAAACGTTAAAAATTAATTATGAACATTGTAGCTTTAGTTAAATTAGACTCTTTCAGCTTAAGGTAACTTGAGAATAAAGTCAACCCTTGGTAAGTCGAATGCTGCTGAGTCAAATTTTCTGCTAAATCCTTTAAACCCAAACTTCACTTTCCACTGTGCAACCGCTCTGCTGCAATTGTGGCCTTGCAGTCATACATTGATAACAACTGGACAGACCATAAATTGTGACAGGGGGGTGGCTGGTTGAAAGTGTACCTGAGGAAAGGTGAATATTTTTTTAACATAATTTTGGTTTTCTCACCTTGAAATGGGAGCTCAAAATATGCAATTTTAAACTGGTTTTTTGAGCTGTTATAGTAAAAAAAAAAAATCCGGGAAAATTCCTGTGAACTGAGTGCAGTTTTAACTCTTCAAGAATGCAAGAATCAAAAATTGCTGAACAAGCTCAAAATGTGCTATATTCAACTCTTGTTCGGGAGTGGTTAAAAAAAATCCAGGGAAATTCCTGTGCACTAAGTGCAGTTACCACTTTTCAACAAACGCAAGAATCAAAAATTGCAGAGCAAGCTCATTGTCTTTCTGAGTTCCTGATTGACAGATAAAAAATATGGATAAATAACTTACTGTTTCTTCTTCACACCACTTCTTATCTATTCCTTTAGGAACTGGGCATTTAACAAGAGCTTGCAGCGCCTTCCCCGGATGATAACCAGCATCATGGAGCTATAGCAGAGGAAAAATAGAGCATTATCGTTATTAGCTATTCCAAATTCATTAGACTTACACCAATTGAAGTAAAGAGCGCCTTTCAAAATGAAACGCCATATTACGTGCCTGATGCTTGATACAAGGAAAGATTTGCACAGCTTTATTAAACTCTAGATGAGAGAAAATCTCTCTCTATATTAGATTGGAGCCACAATGCTGATACAGAGACGATTAAAAATATTCATTACAAATTGAATTTTCTTTGATATAACTTCATTTTGAGCCTTGGTTGTCATTCATGCTTTGTCTTTGATTGTAACATGTATACATGATGTCTCAGGCTTGCAACGATTTGATACAAAAAAAAAAATAAATAAATAAATAAACAATTTTTGATGATGAAAATGATCTTAACAAACTTTGTAGTTTGGTCCTTAAGGATCTGGCCTTGATCCTTAAGAATTCAGTTAATATCTAATATAATCTCTGGCCATTAATTAATAATTCTTTTGGGAGATTGTGGGTTCTACAGACTTGTAATTCAGTTATGTTTATTTCTCTTTGAATTTTTGGTCTGTTTTATTCACACCTTCATTTTTTCTGTGACAAGTTAACTTTAGAGTTTTTAAATCCAGCAGAATTTTCTGCTTTGTACTTTTAATTCTTTAAAGAGGGAAATCATTGAAATCCCTCATGAGGGTTTGTGCTCAAAGTTATACTGTGTCACTCCACTCAAGATCCTTTAAAATTGTCCTTTGCATAATGCTATGTTTAGGATCTTCTTAATCCTCCCTTAATTACCATGTGGACTAAAAGGAGCTCTTTGTGGAACGGAGCTGATTGCGGAAGGACTATGAAGCCCATACATAATGATAAATCTACTAAATTGATCAGTAGACAGCAACATCTTAAAAAAAAAGGAGGAAGCCAAAATTAGGGCTGCGATCAAGACCAATCCACAGAGGCCAGTCACGATGCATCTTTTTGAGATTCCCCTGCCACGGCCTGTATGATGTAAAATTGATTCATCCAAAAATGATCTCACAAAAGCCGCAATACATTCAAACTTCCTGCCATCAATACACAGTACGGTTTCAAAATGGGCCTGTTGCAAACTTTTGCTAGAGCAAAACTAAGAGATGTTTCTTATAGATAATGCCTCAAAAATCACGATGAGCGCATCGGCAAACTCTGAAATGCACTCATAACTTCACAAACTGCGTAAGAAATTTGCGGTTTTTTGAGCTTCCTGCTTCAAAAACGATACTACGGCACAGGTGAACATTTTGTAAGAGGAGTCGTTCCATTGTCGGCAATAATCATCATAGCCGACGCCAATCTGCCAAAACACGTTTGATGGGACGAGATAACACCTGAACTGGATTAGACCAGATAACAATCGGTGTGTCAACGTTCATATTTTCCACGCCCGAATTGATTGACCTTGAACTCTCCTTGAATTACGCGCGGAACTGCGTGCAAGCGTCGGCCATGATGAATATCGCCGACGATGGAGCGACTCCTCTAACAAAATGTTCACCTATGCCGTAGTATCGTTTTTGAAGCGGGAAGCTTAAAAAAACGCAAATTTCTTACGCAGATTGTGAAGTTATGAGTGCATTTCAGACTTTGCCGATGCGCTCATCGTGATTTTTGAGGCATTATCTACAAGAAACAACTCTTATTTTTGCTCTAGCAAAAGTTTGCAACAGGCCCATTGAACCATAGATATGACTGATCTGTGTAGATTGGTTTTGATGACATTAAAACATACCATATCTAAAGCATTGATAGTGGTATCATCCCTAGAGGCTGCCATGCAACCATCGTCAGCAGATCCGCCGTCACACATCCCAGCGAAGGCAGCCATGGAGCGGGCCGCTCGCAAATACATGAGAAGATCACCATCCAATGTCATAGCAGGCACCCAGCGCACTTCCTCCCATTCTCTTTCTTTCTCAGCAACAGTCTCTGATGTTCCGCTCGGCCGGAAATCAGGTAGACGTGCCTGTAGTAGAAAATGATACTCCGAATGTAGGAAAATTTTGAATGAATGTTTAATAAAACGGAAAAAGTACGTTCGAGACTGAACTTGTTTCTTGATCTGTTCCTTGTTTGGAATCTTAGGATGATTGATGAGGACAAGGAGAAAAGGTATGAAAAGAACTCTGACTGGACCTTACTTTACAGCATGGAACTATTATCTCTGGCTGATTTTAGAGGCAACGTATGTGTCCTTTTTCCTTATGCAAATAAGTGATTTCACAGATAAGTTGGAAATATTGGTCCTCTATGCAAAATGTAGTCTACACTGCTTTGCTGAAGAACATTTTATAAACATTCGAGAGTTGCCAAATTTCCTCAGATATAACATGTGTTTTAAAGGAAAGTTATGCATATTTTTTTCAGCTATTTAATAAATTTTCAGCTATTTTAGATGAAATTGCAAACAAAATTGTCTGAAAAATTGGAAGAAAAATATTTACAACTGTCCCAACAAATTTTTGTCATATCAGAGGAAATTTGGCAACGCCTGGAAGTTCATACAGCGTTTTTCCTTTTTCCTCCAGTTTAAAAATAATGAAACACACTAGCAGATGGATAATTTTTAAGGAAAATAAAATAATGTAATGAGTATGTTGCATGCTACAGATACAGCTGGAGATAGAGCTTCTAGGTAAAATTACACACTGAAAAAAACACTCCGGCCGTGGAAGCCCTACTTACGGGCTATATAGACGACTGCTCCGGGTGCTACGCTCGGAACTTTCGGCCTCTAAGCCCGGAACACGGACGGTATCTCTATATAGCCCGTAAGTACGGCTTCCACGGCCGGAGTGTTTTTTTCAGTGCAGGAAAATCATGATGATGCTACAAGTGGATTGCATTTTGCAAAAAGGAACCACTAGCATTGCAATGATGCTAAGATGGTGCAACTTCATCTTTTGCAATAAAATTGCGAAAATCGTGAAAAACTATGAAATTTAGATGGTACTTTTTGTCTTATATTTACAGTTTTTAGCGAGTAAAATAGAAACTATTAATGGATAATCGGGTTTTCCTCCAAGACAAAAGAAGTTGCACAATCTTAGCAACATTGCAATGCTAGTGGTTCCTTTTTGCAAAATGCAATCCAAGTGAAAACAAATGTTGCATCTTCCTTAAGGCAAAATGATTGAAAGAGGACAACAAATAGAAATTACCTGATGTGAGGGACCAACTCTAATCTCTCCCTGCGTGGACACCATACTGTCACCGTCGGTTGAGTCTTCACTCATTCAATCCGGAAGCTGAAATGAAAGTGGGAGAAAATCACTGGATTATTCAATTGATTACCCTAAGCATAAAATAAAATTAGTGAAGCAACAGGCAATTCTAAAATCAGAAAACAAACATGCATAATTACCTACCAAGTCTGAATCGCAAATTGGGAAGAATACAAATGCAGAAATGTGAGAAGACATTTTTGAAAAATGTGAGATACTGGCTCAAAGCATAACAAATATTGACCACTTATTGATGACCTAAGCGCAGAACCAAGTACCTCCATTTGCTGGGTTTCAAACTTTCCACCCCTATTTTATTTATTCAAATAGAAAAAAAGTAAACTTCATACTTTGCAATTTATAAAAATGTTGCATAATACCTTTTAATTTGCTTAGGGTGAACCCTTCAATTAAATAAAATAAACTAATAAATAATCCTCCTGAAAAAACTACAATACCCAGAAAATTGAAAATTCCACATAGAGGATGCTGGGAAGACAGTATTTCCTTCATAATAACCAAGCCAAGTACCTGAAGAATGAAAACAAAAAACTGAAAGCATCTGATTTAAGGATAAGGAATTATCTTCAAAAATAGATGTTACATGTACTAGGTACATATCATTATAAAATTAGCCGAATGATAAGAAAAAAAACTAAATAAAAGAAAGACGGACTGATTTTCTCTTGATGCGGAAATGAGAGATAAGGGTTATAGAAAGGAACTAATTAGTCATTTAATGACAAATAGCAGTGTTGCCCCTAAGCACATTTTGTGATAAAGATGATGCCTACTTTAATTTACGTATTTATGCCTGTGTTTGAGCCATTCAGATAATAGGCACCAATTAAAACAAAATTACAGGCTTATTGATTGATAAGCCATGGTGTTGAGATAATATGAAATTAAACATTCACACAAATGTAAGCAAGCTAGTGAGCTCGGGATCATTAATTTTTTATATCAGATTTTTATACTCCAGCATCATTGACGGTCAAGAGTACCCATGACTCTATGAATGAAAGTATGGTAGTGAGGCTGATTGTAAAGAAGCTGACTTCTTGATTGTTGGAGTTTTCATGTATCTGATGCTGGCATTACAACATTGAAACTGCAAAAATGCAAATCTAGTTACTGACCCTGCAAACTTCCTGTCATGATTTATTTTACTCGACTACTTCTTACTACTTACTCACTTTAAAAATACTTGAAATCATTTCCACTTCCAGGGAAGTTTTCTAGAAGATAAAAAATCAGGGCCGATTGTTGTGAAAAATGTTCTGTGAAAATTTCAAACAATACTGTTGGTTTGTTGTCCTTTCAAACAAATAAAATGGGGTCAAAGATTTGAGAAAATGCAAACAAGATGAGCATTTATGCAGTTTCACTGGAGATTGGAGAACTGAGCACTTGGACCTCACATTAAATACTTGCTGCTAAAAAATGAGGAAGAAAACTGACTTGACAGGGAAACCAGCAATTAATGAGTTTTTTTACCAGAAAATAAGATTTATCTCAAAAAAACAAATTAAACTGAGTCAAGTTTAGTATTTCTGATTGTACACTGATGGAGAAGAAGTTGAATGGTATGCAGGTCTAAGTAATGCATAGAGTACATTATAATTGCAATATACTGGAGCGCCAATGAAGTCAATCCTTGAACGATGCATTTCAAACCTCCTGTTCGCCAGAAAGTAGGAACCACACAGTATTCTTTAACATAATGGTTTGAAGCGTCACAAGGTGCAAGTGGTTTTTGGGATTAAGTAATTTAAATTGATACATATTTTGGAAAATTAAGAATGTAGACCAAAGTCATAACAAATTGAAAGATGTACAAAACTCCGGGTTTGTGCGGAATAAATTTTAAGCCTATATTTTCAGAGCGAAGTCCGGAGCTGGGATCCTGCACATAGGGTTTCACCAGTCTCCGCTTACTAGCCCTACATTGCTCGACAACACAGCTATAAAAAGTGACTTCATCAGCGCTCCAGTACATTGCGACTCTTTTGCACTCTAGGTTAAATGGTGGTGCGACCGATACCAAACCTTGATCATTATGCAGGAAGGGTTTGCATTGATACTTATAGAGTCTTACTTGACTTTGATGACTGGAGACTAAATTACTGAGGCCATTCATACACGACTCTACGGTACTTACGGCGGTTTAGGTAAATTCAGGGTTTGCGACCGTAGATGCTGATATTCCACACTTTGCCCCTTCTACTTTGCAGTAGGTAACATTCATATTTATAAGTTAAGCCAATTTGAAAGGGTTACAATCTCTTGAAGCAATCAGCGATGGATAGGTCCAGTACCAGATGAGGCCCCATCCCACCCACGGCCGGTGCATAATTAATATCTTGGTAAACAATGCTCAGGTCCATCAGGGGTATAGTCCATAACCTATCATGCACTAAGTGTCCAAATGAACCCTTCAAAATACAAATTTGAGGGTGATTGGTGTACCTGGATCATAATTAGGGGTAATATCTGCAGGCAACTGCTCCATCTTCACCATTACATCCAAACAAGACATTCAAAGACTTCTGAGGACGGTGGGATGGCCAGAATTGCTACATTTTTCCAAATAGTACCTTTTCTGTTGGAGAGAAGGACTTATGAGAGGATTAAAACCTTGGTCCTCTTCCGCATATTGAAATAATGATTAGGTATCTACAATGTCAACTGCTATCAGGCTACCCAGGAAACTGATATCAACACCTTGAAGAAGGGAAAGTGATGCCAGAAAATCCCAAATTTTAACTCATGAAGCAAACTTAGTTATTGAGAGGTGAAAAATTATCAGACCGAGGGATTACCTTAAATATTTAGAAATGAATTATTGTCCTGGAAGTGGCTGACTGCCGATGCAGAAGAAGTTTTAATCCAACTTTGAACATCTTGATTCTCCTCGTGAGGATGGATCCGAAAAATCCGGGACGAAACACTAGGGTAATTGATAATTACAAATCACATTTCACGACTAAGAATCACAGGAAACAGGCACAATACACTGATAATTTCGCTGATCAAGCATAAATATTTTCCTTCCAGTCACAAAACAAGCCTCAATAAATTCATCATCGGTTCGTGCTTCATCGACAACGGAAACGAAAACACCGAATTTTCACATTTCACAGGGTTCTCAAAATTTACAAAGAGACCACGAGAGATAAATTTAAAGATTCCAAGTCGGAAAAACCCTACGAGAAAATAACCAGGTATGGATTATGATCACGAAATCACTTCATGAAACTGAGAATGATCGGAATTTGGAACAGCTAATAATAATAAAACGGTTTGATTATTTCTATTATGGCCGTTTGAGGTCGTAGTCAACAAGGTTCGTTTTATTCCAATTCACATTCGTGGCAAGTGACGTCATCAAAGAAATAACAAAATACATGTAATCTTACGGTTGTACCACAGTGACGTCATAACCAAAGCGTTTGTGGTTGCTACCCTGCCTGCTTTGTTACTACTGTAAGGCGCGATCAAAGTTGTCGCAGTTTGGGAAGCCATGATCGGCGGTGTGATCAAAAGCTTTTTTCAGGCGCTAATTTGTAATCACACAGTTCTCACAGGAGGCAGCGACCCTGCTGTGGCCTGACGCGCGCCGCTGAGCCTGCGTAGAAGTTGCATCTCACCTATTTGAAGGCGTTTAGACATGAATTAACTTGAAACCGAAGATGAACTTGTTAAGTTCCCAGGGTTCTCGGAAAATTTTTATTTGTAGGATGTAACGACGGTGCAAGTCGGCAATCACATAACTCGGTTTGCGACGTCGCAGACTTCCTGTCATACTTTATTTTTTAAATGGAAAACTACTCAACGGCAATTCTTTAAAACTGTCATGATTTTTCTTCTCAATGCGAAGAAAATACTGCAAAAACTTCAAGAAATAATGACAATTTGCTCTCCTTTAAAAAAATGACGTAGAGGCGGAGATTTTCAGACACCGCAAACGAGTTATGTGATTGCCGACTTTCACCGTCGATAAGTTATTTAAACTGGGAGTACCGTATCTAAATTTTTTTGTAGGAACTAGGGCGTCATTATTTCTTGCCGATGACGGAGAAATCATGAAAATAGGCTCCAAAGATTCTTAGAAATAATAAAACAAAAAATGAAATTTTAGCTATTAAAGAGCATGGGCGATGAAATAATAAAAAGAGAGAAAAATTTAAAAATGATAGATACTCTGGAAAAAATGTTTGGGCTCAATGTACGTGGGTAAAAAAATGTCCTTGTTATAAATTTTAATACCTATGTCCACGCCTAATGATCTAGTGCTTAAGTAGATGCTAATTTATGGTGAAATCAGAAAAATAATTGAGAATTGTGAATTAAAGACACTGCATACTTTTTTAGGTACTTTTCTATTTTGAAAGTTGATTAATTGCCATTGCACTATAATTCATATGATTTTCAAAATTTTGAAGAACGAAAATTTTTATTATGCTTAAATTGGCATTCTTTCAAATTTTAAAGATATAAAACTAAGGTGGGTGATAAAGGTATAAAGGCAGATATTAAAAAGCGATACCGTTTTATTAAAATTTATGGCACAAAAGGTTCATAAAATAAACCTTGCAGTGAATTTTACAAAACAACAAAAAGTCACATTAATGCTGGGCAATTGTATAAACCTTAAAAAACAGTACTTTGCAAAAAGGGCAAGGTGAAAAAAATATGCACTATAAATTGCGACAAGAAATGACATATCAGGGACGTGTGAAACAATCAAAACTTCTTGACTTTAGATTAGTCAACATAAGGGAATAAAATCAATATTTTTAAGTGAATTCTATAATAATTTTTTATACGTAGTCCTGATCATGGTTAAAAAGAGGAAAAATTGCACTGAGTATTGGCTATCATAACCCATCATATGTACGGCTATACTGCAAACAGCAGAGCTTCAATATTGCAAATGAAACAAAACCTATCAAAAAGTATCGACAAAGGTGGAAGTTACGGTGAGAATTTTAGGTCCGGCGGACAAGTAGGTATACATTTTCCTAAAGAAACGTGGCATTGTTCGATTAATAGATTTAAAAGTTGATGTTTGGTAGACCTTAAAAGTTACTTCTTACTTCTTTGAGGAAACAGTTTTATGGTAAGTCAAGGCATTATTTTGATAGGTAGGTTTGTATAGAACTTGTTTTGATTTTGACTGCGTTTAAGTTAACTTGCACTTTTTTAAAAAAAAATTAAAATCTTGTAAAGTGGATTTTCTGCTTTAAGTAGATTGATAAATTGCGATAACATAGATCAATTAATTTTGATACATAGAGGTAAAAAAGTGGAGACTTGAAAATTCACATAGCAGAAAAACTCCATGGTTTGATAGTGTTTAGTGTTCACCTATGTCTGTGATCAGTGGAACTTAATTTTCTGGTAAGTACTTGCGTATAAAGATCTTAAAATTTCTGAAAATATCATGCGGTTAATTTACTTATTTATTTTCTAATATTTGAAGTGAAATTAGAAAACCGCCAAAATCGAAACCAGTAGGACGATTATTGATAAAATCCTCAGATTTTCTTAAGAAATGAATTTTTACCACAAAGGATTACATTTTGAAATAAGAAACTAAGATTTCCGGCTCATTTTAGAATCATTTTGTGCCAGCAGGATTTTAATGCAGATAAGTGAGTACTTTTACAGATAAGCTAGAAAATAGTAGTTCTTAGGTGCAAAATGCAGTCCATTGAAAAGAACCTAAATTGAATGCACTAACTTCAAAAAACCTGATCTACATGAGGCAATTCTCCGCATCTCTTCGCTGTAAATATTTTTGATTTCATATCTAGTCTTTAAGTGTTGAATGCAGGTGACCTACTATATGGTCTGGTCTAATTAGATTTCACTTCAATTATAAAACAAATCCTTCAAGCAAACATGATCAAAAAGATGAATTAAATATCTCACAAGGACTCCTAACTTTTTTCATAACTGTCGATATTCCAATTTTTTTTTACAACTTAAAACTAATTTTATCATTGTACCGGCCTGCAGCCTGGTTGTAGAAATTTGGTGTTAGTAGGGTAGACATGGATGACATAGGTTAAAAAGCAGAGCGTAATTGGTCTGCTATGTCTTATCGCTGCTTTGTCGTGCCTATGTGGGGCGGACCTCACTACAAGCTAAAGGCACCTCTTAAGGTTCCGACAATATGTCGTCCATTCCACCTGACAAAGGCAGGATAAAATAGTGATAAGACATAGCTGACCAATCAGGCTCCGCCTTTTAACCTATGTTATCTATGTCTACCCAACAAACACAAAATGTCAACAATCAGGCTGCTGATTGTATTTACAATAAATCTTGTATGTGCACAGACAAAAGTACGTACGTACAGGGAATATTGAATCACCTCTAAAGACTGCCACCGCACTGAAGCAGTATTATGAGAAGTAAAAGTAAATACTTCCAGTTCACAACCAATCATACGAGGTACAAGGTGAAAACTAAACTAAAGGTAACTAGCTTAGAACATAATGTATGAAAAGGAAAAAATTAATCACCATTTTTTTTACAGAAAATAAGAAGAAAACAGGCTTGAATTTCATAAAAAATCAACAACACTAAAAAACCGGGTATTTCACTCATCAAGTAGGTACTCAAGACATCCTTTAGTTCATATTCACGTGAAAAAGAGGGGGAAACATATCCAAAGAAACGTTTAGTAATATTTTGAAAAATAGATATGATAAGGGTTAAGAGCTTGCTTACAATATAAAATGAGTGAATTAGGATAATTCTTGATTTCTCATGAAATAACAAATTGAAAGCTCTGGCAAATGAGTAAGTTGATTACTCGCATTTTTCCTCAAAAGACTCGCTAACAAAAAAAACTGAAGCCATGACAAGCTTCAAAATCCACACACTGTTCTTGAAGTACATGGCTAGGATTTAGGGTTTTTCTTTGAACCTTTTCTCTTTTAAAATACTTTCCTAATGCAAACCAAGACTCTCAACTGCCGATAGAGCCACAATCCGAACTTAAATAAATTTTTAAGTAGCATATTCCAAAGAGTTATCATTCTTCCCAAAATATTGAGCGTTCTTCAGATTTGGAGTCGTGCATAACATGGAGCTTTCACCTCTCCTCATAGGAGCAACAAATAATACTTGGATGCTTTCTATACCAGCTGAATGCCATATTTTTAACACAGTCATTAATCTTAGTAAATGATTCTGACTAGGTTCATATTTAACATGAATTCTAAAATTATTCAAATTTTTCTAATGATTAAGGAGAATAAATTTCATTTTTAGGGGTCATCCGTAAATTATGTACAGCACTAAGGCGAAGCAGAAGAGACTGGGGCTGCCTCACAAAAGACTGAAAAGAAGGGTAGGAGGGAAAGAGACATTTTTGACGTAGGGGGGTATCAAAAGTCTGAAAAAAGTGTCTTACATAATCTACGGACAATCCTGAATACTTAAAATATTGACACCAGAGTAAGAAAGTACTGAGCACCCGGAAAGAGAAAAGACATGAAAAATAAATAAAAAGTAAGGGAGAAAATAGTGGAATAACTAAAAGAGGATCATTATTGAAAACATTCCACATTTCTATCAAATACATGCGTAATTATTGAATGTTTTTAATTGTAAAATGTGGAATTTTACCCTTCTTGATAAATCTATTAGATAATGTTAAAGGTTTCTCTGTTTTTGTTGTTGTTTTTTTAGTATCTAGTTCAACAAATCTTTTTTACCAAATTAAATAACAGCATTACAAGGACTATGCACACAATAAATACCAAGAAAGTCAGCACTAGTTAATTTCGACGCTCTTTGATATGACGCTCCCTACAACCTCCTAAGAATGATAAGCTATTGAAATTAAACTTTTTATGTGTAATTCTCAAGAAAAGCGTTTTCAAATTGAAATGTGGGACTGATGTAAGGTATGTATGGACGCTGCACCACACATTCTTATTTTTTGGAGGAATTTGTTCCTTTTTATCTATCTTACCCTCCTAGCCTGCAAGAAAACAAAAGACTTCCTTAATTGCAGACAAAATGTTGGAAAATTCATGCTAGATATTGCGTATAAAGATGCCGAAAATTTCACTGTTCAGCCTTGCTTTCCTCAAGATTTACGCATAAAAAGTAAAATTTCAAAAGCGCATTGTACTCAGGAGGCCGTAAGGAACATTATAAAAAAAATATCTAAATTTCCCTGCCACCAAATTTCTTGATACTGCAAACTTCAGTCCTTTGGACTAACCTCTACCAGAATTTACTGTCATAGAAAAACATGTTGGAAGTTTTCAAAGCTTAAAGGTAGAAAATCTGAAGAAAAGATAAGACTAATAAAGGGAAATAATTTTGAACATACTTCATAAGTGAGGAACCTATAAAATATCTCGTTCTGACTCTCTCTCTTAGAACAAAAAATACTAATAAATTAGAAGTTTTGTAAACTTTATAATCCCTCACTAATCCTAAGAATGAAAACATTCAAGAGGTACAAAAATGGTGAAAAAAAACGAACAGTTGCTTGAATGACTAGCTACAAGAGAAAATTTGTTAAATAAATGATAATAAGAACACTACAAGTCATAGATAAGATTTGACCGAGAATAGATTTAAAAATCAGCTGAAAGTAAGAGCTGAATAAGTTCATTGCTAGGAGGAGCTACACCCTCGTCAGATGAAATTTTTCTCTATATTGAGACTCAAAACATCACAATAACATGTATGTAGCATCAATTAGAAAACAACAAAAAACTAAGACAATTCTGTTAGTAATTGATCATGATTAAGTAAATTGTTAAAAATTATTCAAGGGCAGTTTCTTGTCCATAAATTTGATCAATATATGAATAGACACAGGAGAAAAAAACTCTCCCGAAAAATAATCAGTTATTTTGAATTCTGTTACTTCAGGGAAGATCAAAAAGATAGATTCAAATTAGTGCCAGCAACCATTAACAGCATATTTGACCTAGCTCAATTTCCATGATCTTCACGCTGATTGATCGATTAAAATTCTCAGATACACATGAATATTGGGTAGGTACCTTAAAAAAGTAACAAATTGAAAGGCACGCATTATCTCAAAGCAAGATAATTAGTTGTGATTTGAAAATGACAGTTCCTTCAGCAAATCTATCTTTGTTAGTATCGGGAAAAAATGCTGAGGCTTGTATTCTGGTACATTGTACATTAGGTGCACTAAAGCTACTAAATCATTATTTGTGATACAAAAAAGCTATAAACTTAACTTAACCTTTAAGCAACTTAATTTTTACAAAATAAAAAACAAAAAAATAGTCAAGGCAGTCATTTTTAAAACAGGTCTCCTCAATCAATAGATCAAGTGGAATGGTGAAACATGAATTCCTAACAGCAGATTACCTTCTCTAGTTTTTTCGGATGAAATTTGATTACATTTCCTCCTAATTACGAGTAAACACTCTTGGGAAAGCTTGCACTAGGACACTTACTAGGTAGCAGAAAGGTTAAACAATCTCAACATAGATGAACTGTTTTGAATATAACTGCCTCAATTTTCAAAACAATTGTCTTCATATGCATTCATCATGACCCTCTTGGTTCAAAACCTGCAAAATTGATTTTTTGACTTGAAAATAACAATTTGGAGAAAATCTTGAGAAAACGCTTAATTTGAGGTTTCCTCGCTTATACTGAACCACAATGAAAAATAATAGAACACCGTAAGTAAGTTTGTAGTTTACAACCTTGCAGATTTCAAATAAGACTTAATCTTTCTAGATTTCTAGGGAAACATGCTCCTCATTCCCAGCTTTTAACTGGCATTTTTTTCCCCCAGTCAACTGAAAGCTTTACAGATGGTAGATGAAAAAAAAAAAAGAAAAAAATAACTGGTATCAGACTTTTAGAGAGATAAACAGGGTTTTTTTTAATACTTTCACTTGATATTTTCACCGCTGCTACTCAGAAGACTAATCAAAGAACTTGCGATCGACAAATAGCACAAAACACTGAGGATGTGCTTTGAAATATTAAGTTCTAAGATCTATGAACTTAAAGCTTGATTAAAATTTTTAATTAATTAATTTGTTGGATTAATTAATTCATTTTGTTGATGAAAACTTGAGCAGCATCATAGAAAATTCTTCATCTAATGAAGTATTCCAATTCTTTACTTCTACAAAAACAACAAACAAACAAATAATTTAAGTCCAAAATGAGCATTTGTACAAAAGATAAAAAAAAAAAACCAACAAAAAACAATTTTCCACTTGTAACCCCTTGTTCACAACCATTGGACTCCCTCCTCTGATCTTATAGGTTTACATCCTCATCATTATAAATTTACATTTTACATCCTAAAAAGCATAAAGGAAAACAAAATGAGACCGTTTCTGGAAGAAAGACGGAGATAAAAAAACTTTTGCAGTCATGGTGCTCTGAAGGATGAGGGAAAGGGAGTATTCACTGAAAGGCAAACATACAAAGGGAAAATAGGCAATAGAAAAAATAAAATATGTACAAGAAATAAATCACAATAGTTTTGATAAAAAAAAAAAGGCAGATCTTGTTGCTTTAATGCGTCTCTTTGGTACAATGTGGATTCGTACCTGAAAGAATTTTAATACCGGACATGAATTATTGTGATACCCTAATACAGATATAATGCATAAAATGTATAGAAAAAAATAATTCAAACTTAGATGGATGTTGTCTCTGATACAGTGGGTGTACTATTTCACCCAAAAGTTAATTTTACTATATTTTCGGCCGGAAGCGATTAAAATGAAATGCATTGAGGTACGAGTAAAAAACCTCCTTCCACGGATCAAACATTGACAAAAAAAATCAATGTTGCTCATATTCACTTTTCTTTTTGGATGAAAAGCTTGAATTTATTTCTTCTAGAGTTCGTCCACGTGTTTCGGGCAAGTAGTATATCACAAAAAGAGAGGCGAAAAGAGCTAAGGTTCCATACAGGTAAAAAATCCCAGCTTCTAAATTTAAGAAAAGATAAGGATATGTTTTTATTGCAATGAAACAAAAAATTGAAGATAAACTAGATGCAATACCTCCAGCAGTTCCTTTTACATGTGGAGGAAAAACTTCACCGAGCATTGAGTACGGGATAGGAATAAAACCGATACCACTCATCCAAACATTTAAAACGATTGCGAAAACAGGTATGAGCCCAAAGATGGGATAGTTGCTCACCCATGGAACTTTACTCCGCACTGATAAGTACATTCCATAGGTCAACATTGAAACGGAAACACCCAAACATGAAAACATAGAGAGCTTCCGCACTCCAAAAATTGGAAGCAAGAATGTCACAGATATTGCAGCTATAAGTATTACTACTCCGGAGATCACAGTAACTAGGTATGGATTTACAACCTCAACACCGGCAGAGGAGATGATATCTACCATGTAAGTTATCATGACGTACAAACCAGAAAATTGTTGGAAAAACAAAAAAGTTATCATTATCACTAACGGCTTGTACGCTTCTGGTTCACGGAAGTCTTGGACTGTTTTGCGAATAGTTTCCATGGAGAAAAATTCTTCCTTTTTCTCTTTGGGACTATCTTTTGGGATTAGCTGACTGCACTCGGACGCTGTCCGTTTACGATGGATTTTGAGAATCTTGTCTGCATTCTCAGCATCATCAAACCTGCCTTGATCGATCAACCAGGTCGGGCTTTCTGGGATGAACAAAGAAATGAGCACCAATGATAACAGTGAGATGGCAGATGCAATTATTGCAACTGTTGTGTATGCTAGCAGGGCACCGGTAAAGTAAACAAGAAGAATACCACTTGTGAGCGCAACTGTGGACCAGGTCGTCAGACTTCCTCGAAGACTCATTTTGTGAACAGTGAGACATTCCGCCGAGTAGACAGCTGCTGGAGTTGTTGCGAGTCCAACAGCTAAACCAGTTAATAACCGAGCAACATAGAGTCTTGTCAGGTGAGGCTTTGAGGCTATGAGCAGCCAGCCCATGAAGCTTGGCAGGTTTATCAACATGAGAGCTGTCCTTCGTCCATAGCGGTCAATCACTGGACCACTCAGCAAACACCCAATAGGCATTGCTATAGCACCCAGACTTGCTGTAAATTAAAATCCAGCAGAGAAAATTACTCTCACTATTAAATCATCTTTAGAGTATAGTATATAAGATCATGATGACGAAGAGAAGATTGCAAAAAAATATATATTAAAGATCAATAATAACCTGCAGAGGGAAAATTCTGAATAATGAAGTTATTAAAATCACCACTATGATAATGTTATTTCAAGACCCGAGTCCAAGTCAAATGAGTTCACGCACTTTAAGAACGTGACAGAGGATCATTTGTTTTCAGTTAAGCATTGAATAACAATAAAATAAATGCAAGAATCAAGATGGCAGATCTTCTGTTGCACTCTGCAAGTGGATAAATGTATTAGGCTTTGACCCTTTATATGAGCTAGATGAGCTGGAATGTAAGCTACTAAAGTCACATTTTAATTAAAGGTTAATTGATTGCCTTGTCTCATTAGGTACACAAAGTTTGAGATTCTCCATAATTTGCTGTTCAAGATTTTTAAGATGGACTGAAAATAAAAAAAAATGTCAATTACCGTCGCTTTGAATTTGTAAAAAGGTAGACTACGAATAAAGAAATTTTTTTTTTCATAGTGGGCCTTGTTCCTAAGAAAAGGCATACTTCCCCTCATATTTAATGTTTGTTGGTTTTGAAGAAAAAAAAACTTATTATCGTTTATTGAAACCTCCTCAAATTTTTATCCTTCTGTAACCTGTAATCTCCTTTCATTCTTTGAAAATTTCAGGCTGTTTTATTCATTGCTTTTATCGAAAAAAAAAAAAAAAAAAAAAAAAAAAAAAAAAAAAAAAAAAAAAAATAAGTAAATAAAAAAAAAACAAGAATGGAGATTTTGAAATGCTGCAATCGAGTTACTTGTTTTCAGGATTTTATCATCAATGTGAACAACATGAGACAACACTTTAGACACTTTGACTTTAGACAACATGACTTACCAAACGTAGATGCTTCATCGATGTTTAAATTCAACTGTGGTAATGCTACAGCAGGAAATCCAAAACTCATCCCAGGGGCTACTCCAGGAACAATGACAATAAGACCCAAAATCACCTAGACATACCGGAAAAGAAAAAGAGAAGACAAAAATTGAAAAAATGACTTAATTAATATGAACTGTTAATTTGCAGGAAAATTGAATGAAGAAGGAAACAATACCTTATTACTGTCTTGTGACCCAACCTATAGCTTTAATGTACATTCTTTCAACCACTTCGCGACAAAATTCTACTCAAACACTAAATTTTATTTTTTTCTTGCCAACTTTACCTGTTAATGTTCAAATAGGTTGAGAAGAAAGACCGACTGCTTCTTTTAAATATTTGCACCAGGTTTATATATTGCAAGAGGTCCCTACTTAGACAAGGTGTGAATTAAAATACTATGTAACATGTTCTCTTTTTTCGATGAGTAAAAGAAAAAAAAATCTGGGAGTGGCAATCATACACTCACATGACTCAGTTTGGAAAATAACAATTTATTTTAAGATTTAAACGATTCAACAATAAAGAATTGTAAAAATGTTGAATTTTTGGGAGTAAGAGAAGACATAGATATCGTTAACATTTACACAACGTGAGTGTTAGCGGGACAAGGGATCTTCATCCATAAAACCTTAAAACTGGCTTATTGATACTTGAGCATGGAGGAGTTTTTCACAAACATTTTGGGGGAAAAATTGCTTGAAAAAACTACACCAATGGCAAGTTGAGGCGATTTGAAGTTGGCTATTAAAACATTTGAACTCAAGAAAAAGCCACATGAAATTCCGTTCTGTCGTATTCAGGGTAAAAAATTATTACATTACGATACAGCTTTCCTTTTTTCACCAATGCATGATATGACCAAGAGAATTTGCAATTCCAGTTCCACCAGTAAAATGGAATGATGAGTTATAATATGTACGACACAACTTACAACGCACAACTTACCACTCTAAGGGTAGACATGCCTTTCTTGCTGAGCATTCCACTTTCCACATTGGACCGCCTTGGAGAGGTTGGTTCTCCCAGAACATCACTTTCCTCAGACATTGCGGGTGTCTTGAATGCGTAGTATCTTTGATTAGAGAAAACTTATGTATCGACAGTACATAACAAATGCTCGATGGAGAACCTGAAAGAAACAGTGGAGGTCGCACGGTTAGAAAAGTCTCTTTTTTATTGATGCATAATATTGCAGAACTTCTATTCACAATTCATTTCCATAGAAGCAGACCAGCCAACATTGTGGAAATATTCTTATTTTAAGATTTATATTCAGGTACTTAGAATTGAGAGGGGAAAAAAGATAGGAGCATTAATATAGAAAAAAACTATTAAAAATATGTGCTTGAATTTTAAAGACGAAAAACTCTTGAAAAACTGTTAAAATATACTGGGTCCATCATGTAGTTCATAACTCAGAAACCGAAAATGATAGATCAAATCTGATAAGTTCCTAGTTTCTTGTACTCAGAGCATAATGTAAAGCTGAATTTATCAAAATTGGACCAATAGTTGCGATAATGTATGTCGCAGCTTTCTTTCAACATTGTCTAGGTAAGATTTGAATAAATGTGTGATCTGCTCGTACCGCAATCGAATAAAATCGGCATTATTGTTTGTTGGAATCGTCAAATTCTTAGATAGCAGCTGAATTGAGCTTTGTCTCAGCTATGTGACCACTATCTTGATACTTCAAAAGGTCACCACAATCAGATACTTGCTGGTTCCGCACTGGAGTAAACCTCATGATTAAAACCAAATTAATCCTAAGAATTGTGACAAAATTAGGAGGAGCTGAAAAATTTCAAAGAATGAGAAGGTTGAATGTGATGGCAAGGAAAATGAGGAAAACTTGTAAAGGGAGTCATTCCGACAGCTTCATAACCTAGCGCACCTACCTCTACGACAAAAACTTATTCGGCGATCAAACTGTCTGAAAAAGTATAAAATTAAAGATTTAAGAAGGTACACGGGTTTTTTTAAAATAATCGTAGCGTCAATTGAGAAAACTGATAAGAAACTGACAGGACGAGCTGGAAATTATGTTATGTAACAGCATGGCAGAGTAGGGATGCACATTGCGAAGATGATGGACAAAATGAACTGTAACAGGGATGAAGGTATAAATTTAATAAAAGTGTTGAAATAGATACCTTAATTAACGCTACTGCTGGAAATTTTTGAAAATGAATGTACAGCGAAATGCAGGATTCATGACTTTCGCACATGCAAATGAGATGAGAGCTGTGCCAGTGGCTATCGGCACTTGGGTCTAACACAATGTAAACATTAATAGGCTATGTTGCCAGTGCTTGATAAAAGTTAATTAATAACCAAATTATTAACTGTAGGCTCTGCATCAATAAGAAATCAAAAAAAATAAAATAATTTGGAAATTGCATGTCATATTTCATATCAGAACAAAACCGAAAACGCACTATCAATATTTTTTTCAACAATTGTTCAGCATCGTAAACTGGCAACTATGCACTGTAATCACATGACGAAACGCATAAGTCAACAACAACATTGTTATCAGTGAAGTGGAACTTTAGGGAAGGTCTTTGAGCTTTTTTGGTGATCGTGGAGGTTTTTCAAAGTTTTGGCCTCTTTCATAGGTGGAATTAAAGTGCCCAAGGTTCTCTGATGATAGTTTTAAATGTATTACCGATCTTGTGTTCCTGATACTTACGAATAGGGAAAATCGCTCTCCATCAACCCTCGGGGTCGTACGTGCCATTCCTGCCATTTTACTCATGCCCAATGATTTAATTGAATGGATGATTGGATGTGCGGACTGACAGCTTTCGTGCCTTCAATCGATGAACTTGAACTTCCTTTTCTCGCGCTGAATCGTCTCCACGTATGCTTGTTGAATCGTTCGCGACCTACCAGTTATCGAGTAGTAGTGATTTCGTTTCTATTTCCACATGAAGCTTTAATCTCGGTTCGTTTTGCAGCTTCGCCATTGCCAATTTCTCGTAATTACCGATGCATCTCATTTTCCTCAACCCGGAAGTCCGATTTATTTATCGTTGACGTCTTCGTTTTGACTCCCAGTTCTTCATTTCTTCGTCTCTCAGGAAGAGGAATGGATAATAATGCCTCTCATCCAGATCCCTGGAGTTCCAGCAAAAGCAAGACATTCAAAATTTTCATCGATCCCCTTCAAGGCTCCATTTTTGAGTTGACTGTCCAACCCGCAGAGACTCTCCTGTCGGTGAAAATGAAAATTGAGGAGTTAAAGGGTAGGTATTCGAGTTACACTACCCGCAATGCTTTACCAGGTATCTTTAAGAGTAAGGTTACGAGTTCAGAAAGCAAAGTGAACATGGATTTATTCGGAGTAGGCACAAGGACATAGCTACAGATTTCTCAGAAAATAGAAATACCACACCGCAAATAGTTTTTCGATTGCTTACCACCCTCATGAAATCAATTATTATCACCAGCAGAATTCAGTAGCTGTACTTGAAAAGTATCAGTGAAACCTGCAGTTAGTTCATAAGCCACGGTTAGTGAGTGGGCCCATTCGACCCTATGCAGATGTATCAAACTGCAGGCAAATCAAATCCCATTTAGGACAGTGACCATGCTATGCATCAGATGAACGCAGTTTGTTAGATTGGATCTGACCACAAGTTGGAGTAAGTACCTATGCTGAAAAAAGGGTGAGCCTGCTCACTTTAACTGTAACCCTAGATGTAGAAAGGCCTCTCTAACCTGTACAGCCCAAGCCGAACAGCTTGATGCCTGAAATATGCATAACTGAATGGTCTGGTCCTGTTTATTTACTAATTTTGAATGCTCTGGTAGGCATTATACTTGCTAATTATAGTTATGATAGCTTGTCGACATACAACGTTATTTCAGTTGAATCAATGTTCTTAAGCGTACACTGGAGGAGATTCCTGCACTGTGCAGATTCCACATACTCATACCCTTAGACCATAAGTACAAGGGAAGTCCGTACGCCAACTCAGCTTCCTGCCCAGGGGACAGAGCTGCATAGGCTTGCCCGAGCCTATCCAGAGAGCGTTCGGACTTTGTAAAATAAGTGCACCTGGGAATACAAAGTTGAACTGACCCCTGCGGATGTATTTATTGTAGCACTGGTCTTACAACCAAAAAGTGCTATTGGAAAGTCCTTTCAGGATGACTCATGTTGTGTGAAAATTTTGACTGGCGATGGGTTAAAGAGGCTCTCATTCTGGAGGAAGGTTTTCAGGAGAGCTATTTCTATCGAAGAGGGTAAAAAAATTGGTACTTGCGTCTTCAACAGAAAAAATTCCTCATCATCTCTTACGGAGAAGTTGCAAGTAATTTGATTCTTTTATGTGTTGACGGAGGGTATCAAGTTATGTTTTAATCGGGCTATTTTCAGCTCTGAACATGCCGAACATACATTAAACCCTATTAATTGTTTTAACCTAAATTCCTGCTTTGTGTGCCAGTTTTTAGGAAAACACTTGTCTAAGCACTAGTAGGTAAATGTAGGTAACTCAATCTATCTTGAGTTTTTCTGTTATAATGTCTCTTTTCTCTCGAATTTCATTTTAAGAAATATTTTTGGTTTATTTTACCTATCTCATTTTATTTTATTTTATTGTTTTTTTGCTTTGTGAACTGCAATTTTATCTAATTTTTCTTTTACTTTTCCAGGTATTCCCGTCAAACAACAACAATTACTCTTAAACCTCAAGGAACTAGATGATGAATCAACCTTGGAAAAGCTTTCTATCATGGACCAAACTACCCTCCAGCTTGTTTTATCGCTAAGAAGTGGTCCAGTTAGCACCCTTAGAAAAATTATTCCTGCCATGAGCAGTACTTTTTTAAAAGATTTGATCATGCAGAATAGGTGAGTTGCATATTTGTATGACTGTTTTATCAGAGTATTCCCTTTTTATTAAATCACAAGTTTTGTATCCATCCCGACATAACACATGTTACCAGTCGTAAACTATTGCATTTGCGTCTATTCTAAACTCCCAATGGAGATAAACTCAGCTTGCAAAAATACATTCAACTAGCTAAGATAGCAGTACTTAAGTATAACTGCAAACTGCGCCTAACAATTCTATGAATTGGACGTATTTCTACCAAACAGACCTATGTGGAGGTGAGAAATATGGGGTGTGCTCGTTAGTTCTCTGGCCGTAAGAGTGAATGGGAATAATAAAGCGCCAGTGACGTCAGCGGCAATGAAGGAGCCGGAGCGCGGCGCGGAGTTCGTTGGAGGGAGTCTTTAACTCATGAGCCCTGTCCACAACGCTCTCTTGCCATCCTCGCGGCTCATGAGTTCCTCATTCAGTTGGCACATAGGTCTGTTTGATAGAATGCAATATCCCGCTTTTCCAATTCTTCAAAAGGAACCACGCCCACTTTTACATTGCTTCTTATGCAGCTTCCTAGAGCACACCCCATGTTTCTCACCTCCGCATAGGTCTGTTTGGTAGAAATACGTCCAATTATGAAGTCTGAGTCTGAAAGATAGATCTATGGCAATAATCAATGACGTGGAGGCACTAACATTCCTGATGAGTCCAGTGGATTATGACCATATATTTTTATAGCTGACTGGATGGTTTCTCTCAAAGTATTCTGTTCTAACAAAATGGAGCGTGTGTTAACTGATATGATGACGACAAGGACCTGCTTCTTCCTGTGAAATTGACTAGGATCATCAGCTACTGCATCATCATCTAAAATTTATTTTTTTAATTTGTGTGTTCTACAGGAAGGAGATAGGAAGCCTTGAGCCAGGAACTAGATTATCAATCATGGTTTTTCGAGACGGAACAAAAGTTAGAGTTTTTAAAATGTTAGAAAAATTAGATTCTTCAGTAGCCATGGATCCTCTTCTTGCAGTGTCTTCTAGGTAAGTCTTAATTATACCCCTTCAAATTGAACATGTTAAGTTCGTAAGAGTTTTATGGAAATGTACTTCTCCTGATAACTTTTAGGTACACGCTCTGCTTTTAAGTTTCGCCCACAGTTACTATTACAGACAATGATCTAAGTCTTGTGTGTGCACAAGTTGATCTTGAATTAAATATTGATGGTGCAACTGCAGGAATGAGTGTCTGTGTTTGCGACGTCACAAACTTCTGAATTAACTTTTTCTAATTCTGAAGCAATTGAAGGAGCTTCTCTTGAATCATTTTACAGCAATAGAATAAGTGCCTGTAGGACACTCCAATTACAAAAAAAAAAAAAAGAAGAAAAATTGACCAAATCTAGTTTAAAAGGACCTAACATTTCAGGCGAAAATTTTCCTTAACTTTTTGCAAATATACGTAGAGGAAGATAATCTAAAATTTCAGTGCAAGTTTGACCCGAAAATCCATAAAATTGAAGAACATATTCGATCTGAAGTTCCAAGATGCAAATGCTTTGGTTGTAGGTAGCCTTGTAAGGCTTACTTATGTACAAAAAGCATTATCTCTAGCGTGACAAGGTCCCTGTTTTTAGGTCTGGTTGCAAGTAGAAAAGAATTGGGAAGTGTCCAATTTAAACAGAAAGATGAACGTCATATCATTAAAAGTTGAGGCTTTAATCAATCCTTGGATGATTGCCTGCATCTAAGAAAAAATCTGCTCAAAGTGATTTTGACAGCTTTTTTTCTATATTTTTAGTGAGAAACTCCTTCAGTAACTCTTTCACAGAGATGATGCAGGGGTGCAGAAAATGCCCGATGAAAATGTGGAAAAGCCCCAAAAATATGGGAGGAGGGAACATTTTGAGGGGCTAAAAGTTGAAAATCAAAGGGAAACCGAAGAAAAACGTCATCTTTTTTTAGATTGGTGGGAAATTTTGTGGAAAACCGATGAGAAAAATGTGGAAAGCCGGCAGCCGGGCACGTGAAAATGTGGAAGCTTGGAAGATTCTGCACCCCTGAGATGATGGAGTCAGTCTAATCTTTCAATAAATGCTATCTTTCAAACACAACTGAACGATAAAATGTATTAATCACATTTCCATTTTGGGAGTAACTGTATTTTTTCTGTTCATATTAGAAGTAGTTCCAGCAAGCAGCTTGTTTTGAAGGGTGAAAGGTCAAAACATCACGAAGACTCGAAAGGTGTTCAAAAAGTTAAATTAATTAAAGCAAAACTCTTAGAAATGAAAAATTCAAAAAAGGTAAAATAAAATTCTAATTAATTTTAGACCTTAATTCATTGCATTTGCCTGCCGACTTTTTTAAATGAGGCGAACAGACTGAGAGGCTAGCATTTTATCATTTCTGGAATAAGATTTATTGCAAACAGCTTGCTCATGAGGCATGATATCTTTCAGGGAGTGCTCAATGATTTTTTTTCCTTGTGTGTATCCAAGTTCAAGTCACAAGTCGAGGACTAGCAAGAAGTTAAAAAGTAAGACGATTTTTTCAAGTAGGGTTATGAGTTTTCAGTTAATTCTTTTATTTTTCTAAGATAGTTCAGCTGACCAAGCTTATTTTCAATTTTTGGAATGAAAAACAAGATTGTATCATACTTTTTTCCTCTTCTTTCGGTTAAGAAGTTATCTGGCCTGCATTGTTTTAGGACTGAATCTGTTTTGTCTCATCCATTTTAACCTTGGACTCCTAGAGCTTATAAATTCAACAAACTCATTAATAATTAAACAATAGGTGTCTTGAGTTAATTCTAAATTTTTATGAATGGAAGAGCATTTTATATCTGGGAATAATTCATCCTTGTATTTCTTTGTGCTCTTCTTGCAATTGTCCTTTTGTTTTAATACTTTCTGTTAATTTTTAACAGAAAGCAGTAGACTCAAATGAAAATTATTCACCATTTATGAATCAGATCTTAAGTGAAAATGTGGCTCCCTCCAAAAAAAAATTGCCCCCTCTATCATCAACTTTAACAACTAGCGAGGAGCCAAGTCCAAGGAAAAAAATTGAATTTTCACAAGTTCCTGTTTTGCCGAACATTGGACCAAACATGTTACCTAGCCATCATGCCTCAGTTTCTCAAGGTTAGATATGACTTATTTCAATCCAAAATATCAAGTGTTGTGTATGGTTTGAGAGGTTCCTTGGAAAACTGGTTCGCCTTTTTGTACTAAGCATCGATCTTTATCAAGCTGCGTTTCAAGAGTTAATCAAGCGAAAAACAAGTATCTAGGTTGAAATCTTGCGGAGCTCTTCAATTTATTCTCGCTCACCATATTTTCTGCCCATCATTGGACAGCATATGGTGAAATGCTTCTGCAACAGTTAAATTACTAGCCTGTTACCATCTAGTCTTCTTTTTTTTGTGTGTGAAGGAACATTCTTTTCAAATTTCACTATTCGATGTATTGAAGTAGAGGTAATTTTCATCTCAAAATTTCTGTGAAGCATTCCAATATGTGAACAAAATGCTGTAGCGTTTTTAGAGCAGAAATCCCAAGGTTTATCTTGCATAAAATTTAATAGCCAGTTGTATGATGTACACTAAACGATGTTATAATTATCATCCTCTTTTGACTCATTGTTACCTATCTCTTCGTTTGGTTTGGTTGTTTGACCTTCGTATTTATACCTTTTTTCTCCAAGTTTGAAGACAGGTGTAACTTGCACAGGGTAATTTCTCTAAAACCTACCCACAATCTCTCTTCTCGTTTTTGTTTAATTATCTTTAAATTTTTCCCATTAAGTTTCTCATGTATGCTCATCTCAGAGTGAAAAACTGTAAAAGTGTAAAACCGAAGTAGGCCATTGTGGGAATATGTCTTTTAATAAAATAATACTGTTAAAAAGCAAAATTTTCATCCTTGGGCGATTGATTTTATGATGCCCTTGCTATTTGAATTCCAATAAGTGACTTGCTCAAGTTGCCATTCTTACTTTTCTCCAGGGGTGCCAAAGTGCGGACACTTTCCTCTCGTAATTGTTTTCAGTTTTTTTACCTCACAAATTCGTCTAATTAGTCTCAAATTTCACACATGGTTAAAATAAAAATAAAAAAGTGTCATCTTCCTTGGTAATTACCTCATGGCCCAAGATTAGCCTCCCGATTGCTGCAATGTGCCAGTGATGAGTTTAAGTATTAATCTCTGCTTTTCCATAGTTCTTCTTTGATTATCTCAAGTTCTAATTGAACTCTGTGAAATTTTCAGGTTCCGGTCGCAGCACACTGACATCGATAATTGATAACTTGGCACCAACGGACGATAAGACTTTTGATTTATTTGGAATGCATGAACGGAAAGAGCCCGATTGCAGTGCACCAAAAAGGAGGAGTAGCTCAATTGCTCAAGATGTGTGAGTTGACTCTTTTTATTGATAGACAGAAAAGGGGAGATAAATTATTTGAAAATTCTTTTGTACGGTGCAGAGTTTATTTTCATGCGAATTTTCCTATATTTTCATTATAATGCCTCTATTTTTGCATTTTTATTCAAGCATTTCTGTGCAGCATAATTGGAGGTTTCTTTCCTTTAAATAGACACACATAAAGTCTCAAGATAATTTGGGTATAATTTTCTGATTTTAAGAGTTGAGTAAAATATTGATGGCCAAAAAAAAAATAAATAAAAATAAAAAAATGAAATTATGAGCATTTACTATTAAGACCAATCATGAAATCATTGAAAACTTTGCTTGTCAATTGTAAGTAAATCCGCGTCCAAAGGTAAGTCTGAATTTAAGACTAACCTACCTCATGCAATAGGAACTAATCAAAAATCTTAGATAGCCTGAAGATTTTTCACATTATAATTCTACCAATCTACTGCCATCCTACTTCCCTGGAAATTCTCTTACGTCCCTTGCAGTTTTATCATCAAAAAAGTATTGCACCTCTCTAGAGAGATTTGATGGATAAACTCCTATTAGCTGAGTTCATTATAGAAAGATGTTGCTGAGCATTCAAAAATTAGACTACATCCTGCAATTAGGCGCTACTATTCCTGGCTCATCTATAAAAAGACCCGTCTGCATACAAAATCAAATTATATATGAGCCACTCTTTAAATTGAGCCTGAAATAGTAGTTCTTTATTGCAAAATGGAGACCAATGGGCCTGTTGCAAACTTTTGCTAGAGCAAAAATAAGAGTTGTTTCTTATAGATAATGCCTCAAAAATTATGATGAGCGCATCGGCAAAGTCTGAAATGCACCCATAACTTCACAGTCTGCGTAAGAAATTTGCGGTTTCTTGAGCTTCCCGCTTCAAAAACGATACTACGGCACAGGTGAACATTTTGTAAGAGGAGTCGTTCCGTCGTCGGCAATACTCATCATGGCCGACGCCAATCCGCCAAAACACGTGTGATGGGACAAGATAACACCTGAACTGAATTAGACCAGATAACAATCGGCGTGTTAACGTTCATATTTTCCATGCCCGAATTGATTGACCTTCAACTCTCCTCGAATTACGCGCGGAACTGCGCGCAAGCGTCGGCCATGATGAATGTCGCCGAAGATGGAGCGACTCCTCTAACAAAATGTTCACATGTGCAGTAGTATCGTTTTTGAAGCGGGAAGCTTAAAAAAACGCAAATTTCTTACGCAGACTGTGAAGTTATGAGTGCATTTCAGACTTTGCCGATGCGCTCATCGTGATTTTTGAAGCATTATCTATAAGAAATAACTCTTATTTTTGCTCTAGCAAAAGTTTGCAACAGGCCCATTATGATCCACTGATGAGCTATCTGCACTGAAAAGAATTCGCGGAAGGAAAGTTGACTTTTGTCTATGTTCAACTCGCAAGCAATTGCGCTATGATCGTCCAGTGGCAATTAAGGACTGATTGTGGCTAATGACGTTGCTTTGTGCAGTAACTTAAAATGTTCTACTGTGCAGGACATTCAAATGTTTACTCATCAGACGTAAATTCTCACCGAAAGAACAGGTGAATCACTGTAGTCATGAAAGCCATTGTTTTAAATTTTACCAATTAAAGATTTCTGTTACTAATTTTCAGATCACCTAGAGGTGAAGGTCTCAAGCTGAAACCACCAATTGGGATAGTGCGAAAATTAGAGAAAAAATCTGTTGGTAGCGGTTGTAATCAGGCTAGCACCGTGTTTTCTCTGCCAGGAGAAAGAAAAAACTTCTCTGTAGTGAACAAGCAATTAAGTTTTCTGAGTTCTCAAAACTTAATACCTGATATGGAAAATGATGATTATGTGCCTGCTCAGAAAACATTGGCCACTGCTCCAGAAGAGCTGTTACCTTTGGAACCGGAATTTAGTGACGATTTCACTCCTGTGAAAAAAAAGAGCAAGCAGCGATGCTCTGAGTGTCGGAAGAAACTTACTATTTCCAACATGTATGAATGCCGCTGTGGACTTTTGCTTTGCTCCATGCATAGGTATTGTTTTTTTTCTCTTAAAGATTAAAGTTCTCCCTTGAATTTTAAGAATTTTCCGACATTAGTCACAGAGACATCTTCTAGTATTTGGCCAATCAGCCCAATGTAGCACACGATTTGTGAAAATTCCTTAGCAACTCTTATTTACAAAATAACCTCTGCTTAGTTTCAGACATTTTGCTTTTCATATTGCTTTGTGAATTTTAAATACATATTGCTTTGTGAATTTTAAATACAGGAACTACATATTTTTAAAATGATTTTTCTCATAGTCAAATCAGATTTTAATTTTTTTTTTTTTTTTGGCGCTGAAGTTGAAAAATGTAAGACTTTATGACCTAGTGAATTCAATAAGTCATAATGCAGTAATTGGGTAGATTATTTATCAGTTGTTTTGAAAGAACAAGATAAGAACAAGGCTTGCATTGTGCTTAGTGTCGTGCAGTTTTTGAAGCTAAAAGATGATACTTCATTTTAATTGCAAAATTAATAAAGAAATATTTTCATTTTTCAGGTATTCAGAAGCCCATAACTGCTCGTTTGATTACAAGACTGAAGGGAGGAAACTTATCAAGAAAGTCAATCCTCTAGTAATTGCATCCAAACTACCAAAAATCTAAATTAAATTGTTAATCGTTTTAAATTTGACCATAGGGTTCTGTGCAGGGTCTGAATTTAGATACTCCTGAACACATTTTCTGTTCGAAATTTTGTGGATGAAACAGAGTATCTATAGGTCTGGAAAAACTGGGAAGTCTAAAGAAGTCAGGTATTTTTATGATAGAGCTAGATGCTGGGTATAAGACTAGAAATTTACCTTAGAGCTCGGAAAAAAAATGTTAAAAAATTGGCATGTAGGTAGCTTGGTTGAACTGATTGCTCCAAAAACAGTATAAGAAGAGTCCTTGCCTGCAAAATTGGACATTATGAAATTAAAATCTCTCTATCTTCTCGAGAAATTTCAGAACGTTACCGTCAATTTTTACGTTTGCTCATTTTAGAAACAAGTTCCTAAAAAGTCTACATGTGTAGAATTTTTTCAACTCTTGGCCAGCAACAAACACACTTATAGCTATTAAAAATCGTCCAAAATCAATTAGTCTCTTAACTTACCTATCAAAGTTGACCCAATAGTGAGGAAAAGTTCCGAATTCCTCTTCCAAAATGTAGATACTCTGATCAAGTCATGGACACCACAGAGAAAATTTAGAACCTAGGCTGTTAGCGTATGCAATTAATTGTGGTCAAATGGAAGTTTTAGATGTTATACATTTTACCGATGCTTATTTTCAAAGTTAAAATTTACACGGTTTGGAAGTTGATTTTAGGATTTTTTTGTCTTTTTTAGTTTTTTTTTTTTTTTTTGTTGTTAAATTTTGAACAGATAATGAATTGAAAAACGCTTTAGCTCAGACCCTGTTTTACTGGTATGATCTACATTACATTAAAGTTTCATTCAGGAATAATTTATGTTTAATCAGTGACGGTGCTTTTTCAACTCATCTTCTTAGTTAAGCTGACCAACACTCTTTCAAAGATGTTTTTTAACTATTTTGAAACTAAAATCAGCTAAACAAGTAAAGTAACCCCTTTCCAGTATTAGAGGATGATTTTTAGCAGCTGACTGAAAAAAATGTTTTTTTAGATCAGTTGCATATTTGAACCTTTTATCGAACCAAACTTTTAATGCATCTGATTTTTTATCACTGTTTAGCCTTGCCTCAGTGCACACGATCAATTTATTCATTACATTATTCATCTATGAACTCCATGGACTCATTCATGGTACATAAGTATTTATGCTGCAATACCCTTTTTACTAGGAATAGATCGGCAAGAAACAAAACAAAAAATTGAACAGAATACTTTATTTGACTTAGACTCACTTTTAACATGAAAAACCTTCAACAGCAGCCTTTCACAGACAATAAAAATTTAAAGACGTTCAGTTTAAAATAGGTAAAGCACAAGGTAAAGGGTAAGGAGAGGTATCGGTGAGGGCCATTTTTGGGCCCACACATCTAAATTTCCTCAACTCCAAGATTTTTTGCTCATTGGACTTGAGGGTCTATATTTTACAAAGTGTATCATGATTTGGTCATCTTTGGTCTCTTTTCAGGTCTATTACTGGCCTTAGCATTGTCCTGAGGGCCGATTTTGGCGAAAAATGCGGTTCTTTTGGTATTCAACAGCAAGCCCGCTAAGTCAGCCTTACGACCTAAGCTTCCGCCAGTATTAGACCTGAAAAGAAACCAAAAATGACAAATTCATGATGGATTTCGTAAAATATTTACCCTCAATGACAAAAAATCCTAGAGTTGAGGAAATTTAAGGTGGGCCCGTAAACGGCCCTCATTGAAACCATTTCTTTTTCACTGAAGTGAAATCATCTAGGCCAGTAGTTAAATAATGAAAACAAATAAATAAAGAAAATAAAAAATTATCAATCAACAGTTATGGTTAAGTAGGAAAACATGTGTCTTGTTTGGCCATTTTGTCAGATCCTTAGTGAATGTGATGTTCAAGGTGGAAACTAAATTTTTCTTAATACTGATATGTTATAAAATTTTACATATTCCATATCAATCATATTATTCCTCAAAAGTATCCAATAGCATACTCTCACCGTTTGGTTGGACCAAAATCTTGTATCTCAATCACTGTCATGAAGTTTCTGCTCATATTTTATTTTTTCAAGAAGATGTCACTTCATATTTTGACAGGAGATTGTCAGAGGAAAATCTTTAAAAGGCAAAGGAGAATTGCAGTAAATTTTACAGTATAATGTATTGATGAACTATCTTCCAAGAAAGTAAAAAAAAAAAGACAAAGAATTTGTAGCGTTGAAAGCGAGATGTGTTTACTCAGTCTCACCATTGTTTCATCTAGAAGTCCCCTCAGATTAAATGAAGTGAGCAGACAGGAACTACATAAAAGAAAAGTAGCTTCAATTGAATGAGCTTAAAATGGGACTGCATGTAACAGAAACTATTATTTATCATTCTTGAAAAGACGATAAAAAAAGAAGCTTGTAATTATGCTGAAAGACTTGATGACAAATGAATTACATCAAAAGGAACTGTGTAGCATGCAAATCTTATGTACATAGTTCCTTTTGATCATTATTTGCACATAGTTCTTATTGGTAAAAATACGAGCAAACAAGCTTAAACTGACTAAAATAATACTTCTCCGTAGGTAATATCAAATCAAAATTGAAATTACAATTGAACAACTGAATTGTCATGTAAAACTCTGTACATTGCTGTTCATTCAACTTATGTTGTTAGCAAATAATGCAATTAGTGCACTTGTACAAAGTCCATTTGTTTTTGGGAGGCTTCACTACTCACTAATGTGAATTAACTAAGAATTTTGGAAAGACTGATGGAAATAAATTTTAATTTTTTTTACCACTGAGTTCACCTTCTATTCCTCCACCTTTCATCACTGGATTTCTCACAAAGAAACCAAGGTAACACAATGCGAATAGGAACAATAAAACTAAAAGGCCATAGCTTTGAAGATTTTGGAGAGAAAGGGTTTTCAACATGGGAAGGCTATTTCGAAAAAGTGGGAGGGACAGCTCAAAAAAATGGGAAGGCTAGGAACTTTCTGCACCCGTGAGGAACAGAGAGAGCAAATCATGCAGTTATTACTTTTCTTTACATACTCAGATGTTAAAGAAGTCATCGAGGGAGTATAATTTCTTGAATGCCGTTTTGCAGAGTCGGGACCTAGCTAGACATAAGAAGAGAGACGGAAGAATGTGAAGAATTTACAGTATGAAAATTAATGCAGAAGAAAAAAAATTAATTCTGCAGTAGGTAAAACTGCAATTGTCAGAATTTTAAACAATAAAAATATGTTATTTCGTCATCCCTGGAAAAAGGATAGAGGGATACAATAAGACCTTGCCTGAATGTAGCATTGGCAAGCTAACAAATAATATGTACTTCTTTACATATATTCTGACATGAGTAGATGCAACTCGGGTCAATAACTTTAAATAACATTACCATCTCAAAGATGGCAAAGAGTGCCACTGTGTCTAACCATACAGGGAATTTAGGTCAATAGGAAATAGTAAGCTAATAGTGAATTGACACTATCAAAAACGGAGTAAGAATAGTTTTTTCGTATTTCTACCTGAGGTTGATGAGATCATCTGAACGATTAACAAAATTCAATAATAATAACAAACCATTTGTTTAATACAAGTTAAAAAAAAAATACTTTATAATGGAGACAGAGAACTTTCTCTCTCTCCATATTCAACACTAATGGTGGGGTCTGTACGAGATTACAAACCAATGATTAAATAAACTGTCATATAAAATAGACAGAATCAAAAACCCTATTTTTCAACTTTTCCTTGGACCACTCTCTCATCAGCCACAGTGTTGACAAATCAGAATTTTTGGAGCGCCTAAAGATAGTCACGACGAGGCAAGTGAAGCGCAAGACTTATTGCAAATAAAAACACTGTCTAAATTGCGATTTATCTGCAAATCAGTGGTACATAATGAGTTTCTAGAGCAAATACCTAACGATAATTGTTATAAGGTGCTTGTTACACAGTTTAAGAATAATGAAGGATCGAAGCTGCAGGGGTTTTCTGGCACTAAATGCAACTTTGTCCCTCCTTGCACAGCTAAATAGGACGGTAGATAGAGAACAAATATGGGAGAAACACATCGATAGCGTAGGTCCGCAATCACATATCTCGGTTGCAGTGTCTGAAAATCTCCGCCTCTAAGTTATTTTTTCAAAGAAAAACAAATTGACATCATTCTTTGAGGTTATTCCAGAATTTTCTTCGCACAGAGAAGAAAAATCACAGCAGCTTTAAAGAGATGCCGTTGAGTAGTTTTCCGTTTAAAAAATAAAGTATGACAGGAAATCTGCGACGTCACACAAACCGAGTTATTTGATTGCCGACTTACACCGTCAGCGTGCTCGCCTCTGCTTAGCTTATGTGCATAGACTGAATCAATGTTCGAGGGAAACAGTCTGCTTCTTGATTTTTGCTGGTAAGTTTTAACTGTTAATAAGTTGATGAGAAAAGATTCGGTATAAAAATACAATTCAAGGGTTTTTGCAACAGCTGCTACGTCCATTCCTGTTCTCTGTCACCATGATATATTTCATATTTATTTCCCTAAATCCATTTGCAACAGATTAGCATTAATGTATTTCCACTAATTATTTCTAGACTCTGAAAAGAAAATTATGGAATTTGTGTACAAAACGTAACTCAATTCATCAAAGCAGAGAAAACAAGACGCCAAGTCTGAGCGGTGACAAGACTGCAACCGACAGTTCAAGCTAACAAAAGACAATAAAAAAAACAGTGTAAGTGGATAGAGGAAGAAGCACTTCTCACCAAGAAAGATTATTAACAAATGTTTTAAATTTGATTTAGCACAGAATTGCTTTGCAGGGTAATTAGTTCTGTCTACTGATGTTATATTATTCGGATAACATTCAGCGATAAATACTTTCGATGTGAATGAATCTCGATTCCTAAATGATAGGAAAACGAATGTCGTTAACAATAAACCCACGGGCAGGAAATTAAACTAAGAAAACTCCAAGTTCTGAGTTGCTGGTGGTTTCTGTGGAGGATGGCTCTATGACGTACAGTAACATGTTCCCACTGGAAGACAATGACTCACTGAGATTTTGAGTATCTGTAAAAAATGCACCGAAAAAAAGATTAGAAGACATGCTGAAAGATACAAACAAGAAAAACACTAAAAATTTGGCCGAAATTGTAAGTAACAAAGACCTGTTTTTCCTATGGGATTGTGGAGACCCAGCACTATTCTAACACCTTGTTACATAGTTAAAGATTAATATATAGTTGGTTTAATAGAGACAATAATATGGCAGTAAACATGAGTCAACTATGATTTCTGAAATATAGCACTTAACTAAAGTTAACCCACCTAAGATGTGGAATTTCTTTAAAGTTCCAGCAGATAGAAAAAAATTTTTTCGGTGATTCCAGCCCTATAAAAATCGGTTACCGAGGTTTTCACAGACTTCAAGAAATACAATTCCTGATTAAAATGCTTTGAAATTGATAATCAACAATTTATCAGCATATATCGAGAAAAGGGGAAAACCCGCCACTAATGGAAAATTGACCACAAAGCTCTTAGTCTATTTTTCTGAGGCACCATTTTACAGATTCTTCACTTTGATGGTTGTGAAAACTGAGAGGATGAAGAAAAGTCAGCCAGAGGAGAAAAATTCCAGACCTTGAAAATGAAATAGATAATATTTTCTAGTTTTTCCTTGTATAATTTTCCTAAAACTTTAAAGAATAGGGTTTCATGATTAAATTTTTCCATGAATTTATCCTTGTTTTTCAGCCTTGTAGATAGTAGATACTCTTGTGTATTATGTGCGGATTTTAAATAATTGGGAATGCGGTTGACCCAGGATGGAAGGACGGATCAAGCTATTAAGGAAAGGAACATCTCAGCAAGGGAGGCTATAGCGATGTTAAATGGAATCCTCTGGGATCAGCGGATTTCCAAAGATAAATATACAACGCTGTGGTCAAAAGTATATTAACATACGGATGCAAAGTTTGGCAGCTGAAAAAACGGACACAGGATATGCTAAGAGCAACGGAGATGGATTTCTGGAGGAGGTCGGCAGGAATTTCTGGGAGAGATCGGGTCCGTAATGAGAAAATACGTCATATCATGGAAGTCGAAAATGACATCGTGTTTGACGTCATGACCAAACAGCTTGTCTGGTACGGTCATGTCAAGAGGATGACGGAAGAGAGGCTGCCAAAAAAGATGCTTGATTGGGTTCCTCCTGGGAGGAGATAAAGGGGACGCCCAGTAAGAGGGTGGCAACAGGGGGTATTAAATGAAATGAGGGAGTGTCAACTCCCTGATGACCTGTGGAAAGACTGAGTTTTGTGGCAATTAGGCGTCGCACAGCGCCAAAGAGCGCTATAAAAGCGACTCATACATGTATGTATTTTGAGTCTGGGTTCAATCAGGAATGAAATACTGAAAATAAAGAAAGTCGAAACTAAAAAACTCTAACTCACAGAAATGAATCAAAATTGCCGACGCATTTCGGGGCTCCCCCCCCCCTTCTTCAAGGCTAAATTCTGACTGGTTGTTATTCCACTCATCTCCTTAGTTTCTTATTATTCTTATCAAGACTGTCATCTGTCACTCTGAGCAGACAGTTTTGCAGGCATTCCAAATCCAAATTGCTCAGTGATAGATGGCAGTCTTGATAAGAATGATAAGAAGGAAGGAGATGAGTGGAATAACAACAAACAACAACCGGTCGGAATTTAGCCTTGAAGGGGCCGAGGAGCCCCGAAACGCATCGGCAATTTTAATTTATTTTTGTGAGTATGAGTTTTTTAGTTTTGACTTTCTTTATTTTCATTATTTAGCTTACAGTTTGTTACCTCGATTTCTCGTTTGTTTCGTTTAGTTTTCGTTACTCTCGGTTTATGAAATACTGAGTTAAAGAAATTGACCTATTTTAATATCTATAATGCCCAAAGACCCTTTTCCGCACACCTGCTCATGGGTTTATTTAATAAGTAATTAAATTTGAAAAAAAATCAATTGGCTGTACCTGGAATATGTAACTGAGAGAGACTGTTTTGATTGCAACCAAGTCCCGGTAAATCTGATACAGTCCAAAAAATCTCGCCACCTGCCAATAAAGAAGGATTCAATTTTCAAAACAAAATATTTACAATTGCTTGCATTGCAAATGATTGAAATGGGCCTCTTGCAAACTTTTGATAGAGCAAAAATAAGAGTTGTTTCTTACAGAAAATGTCTCAAAAATCACGATGAGCGCATCGGCAAAGTCTATAATGCACTCATAACTTCACAATCTGCATAAGAAATTTGCGTTTTTATGAGCTACCCGCTTCAAAAACGATACTACGGCACAGGTGAACATTTTGTTAGAGGAGACGTTCTATCGTTGGCAATATTCATTATGGTCCACGCTTCCGCAGTTCCGCGCATAGTTCGAGGAGAGATCAAGGTCAATCAAGGCGGGCAAATAAAATATGAACGTCAACACGCCGATTGTTATCTGGTCTTATACTGGTCAGGAGCTATCTCGTCCCGTTACACGTATTTTGGCGGATTGGCGTCAGCCATGATGAATATTGCCGAACGACTCCTCTAACAAAATGTTCACCTGTGCCTAAGTATTGTTCTTGAAGGGGGAAGCTCAAAAGAACTCAAATTTCTTACCTACATTGTGAAGTTATGAGTGCATTTCAGACTTTGCCGATGCGCTCATCAAGATTTTTGAGACATTTTCTGTAAGAAACAACTCTTATTTTTGCTCTAGCAAAAGTTTGCAACAGGCCCATACAATGATATTTTGTATAAATACATTTTAACTAATTGAGCATTGATACATCAGCCACCATTGGCAGAGCTAGCAATTTGGTTTTGGTTTTCTCTCCATTTAACTTATGGAAAATAATTGATTTTCCGAGGGGACAGGTACTTCAACATGAATCGATTATTCAACACGGGTTTAACTGGAGGAAAACCAGTGTTATCATCCTGCTAGATCTGCCTCTATCAGTTGCTGATGACAGACAGCTCTCAGCATTATTAATTTTGGGGCAGAAATAGATGCTAGTGGCTGATGGGTGAAAATCACAATTTGTACTGATAATTCAATCTTTTCATGAGTTACAATATTATAGTACCCCTTAGAAACAATCATTTGATTCCTGACTCCATTCAAATACTGAGCAGGAATTTGATTCAAAGATGCACCAGTCACCAACGACTGATACTAAGGCCATCACAAAATCCTTTTTGTCAAAAAACGGATCCAAAAGTTTCTCAATGACTTTATTAACTACATAATATCAGTGGTGTGGCGTGACTGATCGATTATTGATATCTCGCCATTTGAAGCAATGGTAAAGAATCGATAACTAAGGTGTTCGCTGCGAACACCCTGATAATTGATCTTTTTTCATAGCTTTGAGTGGCGCATCAATCGATATATTGCAAAGCACGCCACGCCTCTGCATAATATTATTATTAAAACTAAATCTATTAACAGAGGGGAGGTTTTGTGCGTTTGAACGTATGCATGTTAATCACATTATTCACCATCCTTAAAAATTTAGCAAAATCCTCCTTTAAATCAGATAAGATTTTGAACAAATGATCAGATTGAGGCCGTCCGTAGATTGCAATTCTTGCAGTCTCATTATCAAAGTGCTACAGAATCTCGACTTACCTGAAGAGTTGAGACCTAAGGTACTGCAATCCAGGACCGAATTTGAACATAACGGATTGGTATCTGTTGCGATACTCAAGGCATCACTTTTCGAAGTAGGCTGGCTTGATTTAGCGCCGCTTATCAAAGGAACTTCGCTGTTTCTCTTCAGTGATGGCTGCCCACCATTTATCAACAAACTGTCTCCAAAAATACTTTCATTCTTCTTGCCTCCTACTTCACAATTTTTCTTAATCAAATGAAACTGATTGTCACTCAGAAGTAAGTTGTCTTCAAAAATGCTTTCATCTTTCTTGTTCATAACATCACTAATGATGGCATTGTTGGTGTCGGAACCGAAGATTCCAAGACTAATACTGTCAAAACTCATTGAGACAGGATCACTCAGTCCATTATCATTGAAAACTTCTGTATCTAAATCAGTAATGCAGTGGTCTTCAGTTTTGTCCTTTGTGTCCATTGCTTTCACCGAGTGAATAGAACTGAGCACTGAATGGTCTGTGACCTCTGATGAATTTTCATTAGCCTCGACGATAATGCTCGTCTCATTGAGATTCTTGTTTTTGTCGACTGTCAAGCCCTTCAGAGAATCAAAATAACCAGGTACACTCCATTCGTTTACTTTATCTTTATGACGGCATTCTAAGTGTTTCTTCAGACAAACGATTCTCTTGACAGACATGAAGCAAAAGGAACATGTGTACGGTCCAAGATGTTCTTTCTTGAAGTGCTTTGATAATGCCACTTTCTGGTTCAAAGAAAACAAAAAAGAGAAAAAAATGTAAAATTACTCAAAATAAAAGTATATGTAAATAGGAGGTAGCCTACGGCCTCTACACATTTTTTTGTACAGGGAAAAGAGTAACAACTGCGATTTCAAGTCTCCAGTGAAAGAAGGCGGTAAATTGTACTGAACAAAAAGAGAGACTTTTCTGAAAGAGAATTATCAGCTCGGATATTATTATGTCTATTTTTCTGAAGCTTCTATTTTGAAGTTCTTCTTACTAAGACTTATTTTTTCAATTTGTATTAGAACCTTTTCCTTATCGATTTTCCAGATTAATACAAACTGATAAACATGACCGATAAAGTTAATAAAATAAGCGACTTACTTTTTCAGCACAAATCACTGAGACAGTACAATAGAAAAATGCAAATGAAGTAAATCAACTTACCCCGTTAAAAGTATGTGAGCACTGCGAGCAAGAGAAACTTTTTCGCTTCAGATGAATTTTCCTATGTTTTTCCAGCCCTTCATGCGTTATGAACGTTCTGGTGCAGTCAGGGCATGGCACCTTACTCTTCAAATGAGACTGCTCGTGCTGCTCTAGGTTGACCTTCCGATTTAAAACCTAGGGGTGAACAAGAAAATATTCTTTAGTGAAGCTCTTGGAATCGAATAAACCTTCCTTCTTGAGGTAATAAAATGTTGAGTGTAACTAAAAACATTGAATCTTAACAGTTTATCAAACTAAAAAAGAAAGACACAACTCGACGGTGAAAGTTGGCAATCACATAACTCGGTTTGCAACGTCGCAGACTTCCTGTCATACTTTATTTTTTAAACGGAAAACTACTCAACGGTAATTCTTTAAAACTTCCGTGATTTTTCTTCTATGTGCGAGGAAAATTCTGCAAAAACTTCAAGGAATCATGTCCATTTGTTCTCCTTTAAAAAAATAACATAGTTGCGGAGATTTTCAGACACCGCAAACGAGTTATGTGATTGCCGACTTGCACCGTCGAACTGCTTATCGACATACCTTTTCACAGTATTTGCACTTAAAAAGACTCTGCTGAGAGTGCATGGATTTCATATGAAGTTGGTAGGCGTTATCGGTGGAAAAAGACGATGGACACAGGCTACACTGAAACTGATAAAAAGAAAAAAAATTAAATTTGATCAGATCCAGGGAAACAAGGAGAGACCACATTAGAAAAAGAATGACTACCTTTCTTTTTGTAATGTGATGAAAAAATTCTTAAATCTTCAGTAAATGAAAAACTATGCGCAACTAGTTGGTTACACACTTCAATTTCTTGTGCTTTCATTATTAATTTTATGTTGACTGTCACAGATGTTTGATGCTCCCTGTTGTGCCACGAATTTTCGTTGCTCATCCATGAATTTTTGTGATCTCTACACCGCTGCAATGGACCCAACATTCCGACAATCGGTGCTGAACATAGCATTTAGACAGTGTTGTTGGTCCCCAGCCCTACATGCAGATGGATGGAAACGTTACTTGCTTGCGCTGGAACTTGTGATGCTGATGGAACACAAAAACTGCTTACCGAAAACTTGGCACCACAAGAACCCTGAGTGCCAGGCCCTTGGCAGTCAATGTCATTAAAATAACTGTCAAAATTCAGACACCACGATTTGGAACTCACATTGAAATCCGATCAAGACTTTAACAAATGACAAGTGCCTTTGGAAATGCCAGTAAAGGCAGTTGAAATACAGGAAAAAAATTTCAGGGTTATCAATACTTAAAAAAGAAGGAAATAGAGGCAGCTGTTTTGCAAACTTTAGAGGCGTTTCTTTAATCTTGTTTTAAGTATAAAGAACTCTCTCCACAAGATTTGAAGCAATCAAACTTGAGCTAAGAAAAATTAGACCATTTAAAAAATTTTTGGACAACCGCAGGTTTCCGAAGTACTTGGGTGCCATTAATTTGAAGACCATACCCGATAGTTGAGTAATCTTTGCCTCTATATTCTTCATTTTTTTCTGATTCATTTTTGTGACTTATCTGTCTCCCAAAATTACATTGGCGACTTGCACCAGTGTTTTTTCCCGCTATTTTCTTCCTTTCTTTCCTGGTTGAGGAAGGAAAGGTGATCTCTGAACTATCCTACTGTTTTTAGTTTTTATTTACAGACCACGTACCATTTTAAGTTGTTAGTGTATTGTGCATTTAGGTTGATTGAGTAGTTCTATCACAGTATTAACAAATAGAAAAAGAGGAAAGAAGTAATTTGTTCAATACCTTAAATGAGCTATGAACTGACAAAAGGTGTCTTCTTAGGATGCTTTTCCGATGGAACTTCTTATCACAAATCTGACACTCAAATTCTGGCTCTCCTAAAAATTTGCAGAACAAAATTACATTAAAATAAAATTAGAGGCTTCGAGTATTTTAACTTCTCCCTTCACATGTCAAAACTAGGGATCCCCATTAACTCATGATAAGTGAGCCCAGGTACGACAGTTAGAATGCTTACAAAGAAGGAAATCCATCAGTGTATTAAAATTTCTCTCACAGCACAGAAAACTCAACAGAATTGTAACTAAGTTAACGACAAATTTTAAATAAAGGCATTTATCATAATTTCTTGTCGGAAATTTCTTTTCAATGATGGAACTGACAAAGGGAGAGTTTAGACTGAAGAATAATCAAGGTTACACAATCCAATGGCACTGTGACTGAGTGGTAAAAAATGATCCCCAAAACATTTAGCCCTTTGTGGTCCTAACTTTTCATGGTGATAGACAACAAAAATTTTAACAAAAGATACTTTTGAAAAAAACATACCATGTACTTTGAGATGAGAGTTTAAGGTTCTGATATCTTTGTATTCTTTCCCGCAAACAGGACACTGGCAGGATTTAGTGCCGGAAATACTTCTTATGTCTGCAATGAAATAATTTTCAACTGCATTTAAAATTTATACCTGAAAATATCTGGAAAGATTTTTACTTGTCCAGCACTCCACACTGAATGACAATAATTACTATTTTCCATTAAAATGAGATTTCTACGTCCAATCTTTGTTTCTCCAAGTTTATTTGAGTTGAATGGATAGTCTGATTAAGTTTGCTTTCTTTCATCCATCTCTATTTCTCAGCCTATTTCAATATAATTTCCTCTGATCTTTGGTTGGTGCATCTTCGTTTTTGTAAAATTTCAATAAATAAATCAAAAGAAATTGCATGCATAACTTGACAAATGAATTTCTCACAAATTCATCACTTTTAAAATTGGTGAGAAATTTTAGATACAGTTATTTAAGGTATAAAAGAAAATCTGGATGAATTAGTAAGAAAACTATATCAATTACCAACGGTATGAACTGTTTTGCAATGTTTTCTCAGTTGTTGCTTTGTTGCCAATTTAGCATTGCAGATCTTGCAAAGTCCTTCATCGCTTGTGCCATTTTCTTTTGCTTTCATACGCTCAATTTTTTCTGAAAAATAATTGTAAAATCGTGAAGAGCATTAAAGACACAGACGATGTACATATAAAAGACACTGATTTAAAGAATAAGTGCACATTATTCTAGAGCAAACATTAATTGAACGTGCTGAATACACTGATAGACCTTCTTCGTATGCAAGGTATTAACTTTTTTAAATATATAAACTTCTTCACATTTAAACCAAGTATATTTTCAAGAGGTACAAAATGCACGAAGATATTTAAGGTTGAATTAAATTTTTGCCGTTTGAATGACAGAACAGTCAAATTTTGATTAAGACCTGCCATTTTAAGGAATAATGACTGACAACTCTTGGTTGGCATCAAAAATTATTGTTTTTTACTCCTTCCTACAAAATGAATCACACCTAGGAGTTTACTCTGGAATCATGTTCAGTAACTATACTTACATGGACCTCGTCTGTTAAGGGAGGATACATATTATTTCGGACAGGATGACACTGATATGATGAACATTAGACGAATGGTTGCCTTCTCATTAAATAAGTATGGAGGTTTTAACATTTATAGAAATGTATTAATGTTTGAGTAATACTCAGGGTTGCTTTTTTGCTTCTCCTCCTTTACATCCTACGTGCATTTTCCCTTCAATTTGTTGCAGATTCCAACAGGTGAGGGTGAATCTTATCAGTAAAAAGGAGGGGGAATGATTCAAAGGGACATACCTAATCGAGTGTGCCATTTCTCATGTTTCTGATAATGTGAGACGAGAAAAAATTTTTGATCACATTTCTTACAAGGAAAAAGTTTACACATGTGGTCATCCAGAGTTTGTTTCCGGGAAAATGCCTGAAAAATAAATAAAACAAAAACACAATTTATGATGAATTCAAGGGAGTCTGATCATAATTCAACAAATCGTTTTTCAGGTAGTTTTCAAGAGAAGAGAAGGTAGGCTGTCTTGAACTTGTACTTCCTATCGAAAATTGGTAGGGTCAAGTGCTGTAATATATATACATATGGCAAGGAATTGAATAAGCCAGAGAGGTTTGATCATTTTTCTTCTTCTTGTCCCGTGCTCAGATATGTCTAGGACAATAGTTGATGCCCGCTTTTCATGCCTATTCATACATACATATGAGTCGCTTTTATAGCGCTCTTTGGCGCTTTACGACGCCTAATCGCCACAAAGCTCGGTCTTCCCACAGGTCATCAGGGAGTTGACACTCCCTCATCTCATTCAACACCCCCTGTCGCCAACCTCTCACTGGGCGTCCCCTACGTACCTATTCATACACAAGTTAAAACCAATGTAAATTAGTAGTTGTTATAAATCATGCAACAGTTAGTTCATTGGTTTTGCACTGATTTTTCTGCTATTTTTGAGCTAATGTTCAGAGTGATTGGGTTCAACAAATAAATAAAAAAGTCATCAGTTTTTGTGGGTGATCCGAAGATTCTTTGCTCAGCGGAGAAGTGGATTGGAAAAAAACCAATTTAAATTCTTTAGAAGTAATTAGCACAAATGCATTAACTTACCCTAAAACATTTGGTGCAGGTGAACTCTCCGATGTGAAAACGTAGGTGACGAAAGAGATTTTGAGCATTTTTAAATTCAGACAAGCATATCTCACACGTGTAGTCAAGGGATGGATTCTGTAAAAAAAATTACAAACATTTGAAATTATGTGGTTCGAAAATGAAAATTTGCCATTAATATTGATGTTAGGCCTTGTACACACGAGCGCGGTTCACGGAACTTAGTTTGAGGAACTTGTTCCTGGAACAAGTTTTAGCTGAGCTGAAAACTTGTTCCTCCTAAACCCAGAACTTCCCCCGTACTCCAAGCTTCTACATATGTTTCTTTTGATGTGAATTTGTTTGTTTTTGTTTTTTAAGTCCTTTACATGTCTTGAAATTTATTTTTGTTACTTTGGCGGCCGTAATAATCTATTGTTTTGCAATAATTGTATAGTTTTATTGAAGTTCCGGTTCCAGTTCGGGTGAACTTGTGTGGACAGCATCCCTCCTTTCAAGGAACAAGTTCTGGGAACTGAGCAGTTTGTCGAATAAGTTCCTCGGATCACGCTCGTGTGGACAGGGCCTTACTTTGATGCTATTTTGTTAACCACAGTCTGTATGATAGCCACGATCAACAAAGATTAACCCCTAATTAGAATGTATAAGTAAATCGTATGAGCCAGGAATGCAGAAAAGTTACACAATTGGCCTTTTCTTTCAAACCTTCCCACTGTCTCGAATGTTTTAAACAAATGTTCTCCTTTTATATATTTGCTTTTCATTGAAAAAAAAATGCACACAAAGACATGTTTAACATCCACATGAACCAACTTTACAATTTAAAGAAGCACTCCTTTTCATGGTCTTTCTATTTCAGTGCAGATGATCCGCCGGTCTCTCAACCGAGAAGCTTCTGCAACGCTTTTTAAGGCTACAGGAACTGGAGAAATTCAGCATGAAAATTCACAGGCTGTTAGAGCTTAAAACTCACCGGTGCATTAATTGGCTCAGTGGTTGCCAAAGATTTTCCAGGAACCGCAAGGACAGAATCTTTTGATAGCGATGAGTTAAGTATGTGAGAAGGCACTGCGGATTGAATATTGTCAACTGAAAACGAAGGAAGAGTACTCGCCATGCTTGAAGGCACTGAACTTATTACTTTGACGAGCTCATTGTCATTGCTCGAGCAGGAAAAGTCAGTCTCGTTGCAGGCTTGAACTCCAGAAAATGGGGTTGAAAGGGGAGAAAACAGTTTCTTATCATTCAGGATACTACTCAGGTCTTGACTAAAATCTAAAGTGTCCTTTTTTGAATCCTTGATGAGGGAAATATCGTTAATTAAGTCATCCAGATTGGAGCTGAGATCAATTAGACTTGAGGCCGATTTAAAATCAAAGTCCAGTTTTGAGCGGTCGGTGGGGTTTATTTCAGCTTTCTTTTGACTGGATCGGCTCTCTTCGCCGTTGAGGTTGAGGAAAAGATCATTATCGAGACTGAATAAATTATTAAGGCTGACAGTTTTGTCAAGATTCGAGATATTAAGATCTTCAAAGTCTAAAATGTTCACTGTATTGACAGTGTCTAGTGAGGATCCTTCCATTGGTTTATCTTGATTGAGTTTATTTTCTGCTTCAGTGGACATGTTTGCGCCATTTGTAAGGACTGGAGGACAAAAGTCAAGATCATTCAGCAAGTTCTCATTAAAGCTATTTGGTGACAACAGTTTGTCGACTAAGTCAGCACTTTTTGACAGGAGATCGGTAGGTTCTGCTTCGGAGGGAATGTCCATGATGGTATTTGTATTTCCAGGTAAGTCACTAGTAGTATGAAGCGTCGCTTCGGTGCTCGCAGGTTCTTCAGGAGTAATCTTCATTAATTCGTAGCCCTTCTCTTTCGTTTGATTTATCTGAAAATGAGAAAAACCGGAGGATTATAAGCAAAGATTTTTCTCCAAACTATCACACTGGAGGAGTTTTGTACAGGTCCAGTTACAATTTAGGGAAACTCAATAGCTCAAACAGTTTGAAAAAAACCCAATAGCTAGTAATTGAAAGCAAAATCAAAGCAAGGTAGAAGAATGAGTATAACTTGCTGTTGGCAGTGCATACGACATGACATAAAAGCTCTCTCACCGATAGGCAGGGGATCCCTTTGGAATCCCCCGTCGCTTGCTTTGCAGTGAATTAGTGAGAAAAAAAGTGGTGGGATTCTTTAAGAGAACACTAAAGGAGAGAAGGAGAGGGAGAGAAACAGAGAAAGAAGGAAATAATTATTGACTGTTCAAATTGAGAGATGCTGAGAAATTAACAGTCGGTGCAGAACTATAGCTTAGGCTGAATCTGACAGTCCATAGTTTTATTCACAGATGGTTCAAGGGTATACTACGCATATCCAATACATTCCAGCAGACCAACTTTTTAAGTTTCGTGTTAGCAGGGCCAACATAGATGACAAAGGTGAAAAGGGGTAAAGTGATTAGTCAGCTATGTCTTATCACTGCTTTGTCATGCGTATTTCCAGTAGAATTGATGACAAGGTAAAGGCACTGCTAGAGTTTTGGATAGTATGTTGTCAGTTCTACCTGGCATAGGCATGACAAAGCAGCGATAAGACATAGTTAGCCAATCATGCTATGCCATTCCGTTTTTCATCAATGTCCGCCCGACGAACAACAAAATTCGATTATCCCCTGGCAGATAGCTACATTTCATGTATTACATTCTGATTACTAACACAACTTAGTAAACATAGACCTTGACAGTATCATTTTTAAAGAGTAGTAAAGATAGGGGAAAGTAATCAGATGTGAAAAATACCTTCTGAATTCTGAGTGCTAAGATCATATCTTCTTTAAGGTGAATCATAAGGTGTCTCGCATACAATGGAACTGTTTTTTCCGTGGCAGAGCATCTCTTGCACACCCATTCATCTTTCGTTACTTTGGCACCAAGTTGCTTAGGAGTTAATTCATTGACCACTGGAGCTAAACCAAAAGAAACAAATATTAATTTGTAAAAGAATGATGGAGGAAGAATACAACAATTACACCAATTATATCCCACAGATTCAATCTCTACTGATACAGATTCAGTCGACACTATGTGATTGACAACAATTCAATTGACACAGGTTGGTTCAAGCTGAGAGGACAGAAACAGTTCATTGTGTGGTGACAGATTTAGCTGCAGGTAGCACCAATATTTGATTGATGGTGATTCTATCTACACTGATTCCTTCGCCACCAGTTGGATTCTCTTTAAGAACTAGTTGTGATTAAACATTCTTCTGCATTTTCTTAGCCACAGTTACAAGATGTGAAGAATATATGAAAAAAATAACGCTACAGCATCAGATTTCAATTTGCGTTCTATCGATCAGATAGAGTGGATTAATGAATATTTAATCAATTAATCTCTGATAAAATAGCTTGCATAATACTTTTGTTACACAAGGACCTTTCAGTTACAACAAAAAGAAAGTCATTTTGCCCAAGCAGGATGCAATATGACAAGTATGAATTCTAACTCTAAAAAGTGTGAGATTTTAAAAACAGTCAAAAATACCTGCTGATGGGATTCTGTGGTTTTTCAGTTTGGGTTTCTGTTTTAAATTTTTTGGGGTGCTATTGTAGTCCTCAATTGCATTTTGCTGAAAAAAAGAGAAAGAATGAAATACATAGGGGTACATTAAAAGATATACATGGAGGTGAGTGCAACAGAGAGAAGAGAGAATATGATTTATTGGTGACTTCATCTCGAATAAGAAAATAATATTTGACACAGATTGTCAGGGTGAGCTTAATAGACTGCTTTGCTGAATCGAAGACCGAAAGTTTAAGCTGCTCCTAGGAACTTCTTTCAGAATGCCTACGAAACTTTCATTTAGGATTTCTCTGATCTTTCTGGATATTTTAAATGAAAGTTCCTGAATTTTTTGTGCAAGTAAATTTGTTATGTGAATATTGTTGTACGAATAAATTATTTGATTTTACAAACTAACATATTAAACGAATTGAATCAAATTTTTGAAAAATGCTCAAAGCTTTCAGAATTTTTTATTCTATGACCAATTTTTCTGATTTTTCCTAATGACACCTAATTTCCTGATATATTCCGGTTTCACTTACTGACAGTAGACACCTTATCTTTGACTTTAAATCTCCTTCAAATTGCCTTAGGTATGGAGATTTCAATGTACATGAGGAACTATGACAGAGATTTAAAAGTACGTCTTGAAATTCTAGCCTGCAGAGTGAGATTAATGATTTCTTTTATAAATCTTTCATGATGCTACTGTGGTTCTCTACTGGTGTTCTGAATCTGATGGACTAATGAAATACAGCTTGACTGTTGTTTATTTTATTTTGAACTAATTGACTACCTACTAGACGAAATAAGAAATCAAGTAATCTAGCAAATGTTTCTTCATCCCAATTTCATGTAGAAAACACTGAGCAAAGGTTGTACTCACTAGGACTTCCTCTGTATCGCCTGGAGGTAGTAATCTTTTATTCAATTTTGCAGCGTAGAATGGGGCATACCAGACCTTCAACTCATCACCGACATTCACATTTTTGGTGATGGAATAATAAATTTTCTGATCAACCTAAACAAATCAGAAAAATGAGAAAATTAAACACTGATTTCTAGATCTTTCAGGACTTCATGGCAAATTACAGTGGACCAGGAGAGTAATGAGGTGAGATGGGATCTGAAAAATTTCAAGATTTAGGAGCTAAAGTGAAAGGAAAAATTCAAATGCGAACCTCTAAAGATTTAAAGGCAAGGAATGATAGGTATAATTCTCGAATTTTCTCATTCCCTGATTTTTGGGGGATAAGCCCAGGTAAAAATTCAAGGTTTTCCCTCATTTTTCACTAGATTCTCTCAGCAAAAAGTAGATACATTTTAAATTGCATTTTGCACTCTTTAATGTATGTACTAAATGAAAAAATAAATGTTTCTCTAGAGTTAAAAGCTGAATAATAGATTCTTTCATCTTTTGGGTAATTACATAGTGCCAAATTAATGGAAGCCATCGAATTTATGAACAAAATAGTTTCATGGTTGAGAGGGAATAAACTCCGTATTTTTAAGGCAGATTCCCTCACAAGTTCCTGATTTACTCAGACATTTATCTTTCCATCAAGGTCTTATTTCCCGTTTTTTCAAGGTCTTAGACAGCGTCCTCTCAAGCATTGTATGGAGTTGCTATGATCCTAAAACAGCGTTTTAAACACATCTACCAAATAAAATTTATCTGTAAGATATCACAAGGAGAGATGAGGGCGCAATTTCTTACAAGAAGGGAGACATTCTGTTACACCTCATCTTTGTTTCTTCTACAAGTTGATCACAATCACAGCAAAAGATAACACTTTTACTTTTAATACAGAATTTTTTCTCCTTCTTTTTTTTCAACTGATCAAAGAATAAAATGATTTTAATATGAAATGGCAAGAATCCAAACATATTCACCTGGTAGGCAACCAAATTTTGCTCAGAGGAATTTTCTGCAGCAGCTACCAAACACATCCAATTGCATTTGTGTTCATTGTTTGTTTCTAGGAAAAGGCCGGGAACATCATTGTCATGAAATATCTGCAAAAAGAATAGGTGCCTGTTTGAGTATTTCAAACCCATGTATTAAACTAACATCATTAAATATGACAGCGTTTAAAACTGCGCAATATCACTTTAGAGAAACTCGTTTAAAATGCAACCTAGAGCTAAGTATAATTTTTTAGGCTTTAGTATCTGAGATGCAAATCAATATTAGCAGCATTCTTATGCCTTTGAAATTTGGTAACAGCCAAATAAAGATAGTGGATTCTTGCTGGGGAACGGTATAGCAAACACGGATACAAAAAATTCAAAATAATTTTTAAACAAATGGACAATGCTATGGTTGCTTTATAATAATTGTCCATTGCAGTGGATAACAGCGAAAATTTTAAAAAATATTGTGAAATTTACACACACAATTTTGGAAGTTCCTTTTATAAAAAGCATATTTAAAAAGTAAATAGAGGAATAATAACTCAGGGAAACTCTCCCTTACTTGGAGAATAAAACCGGACTGCGGAGGTGCATCAATAAGGTCAGCTTTGAAAGGCCCAAATTGCGTGCCTCGGCATAGTGGTGCTTTGGCAACAACTACTGGTCCATGTAGCGTGTCTCTAACACTGAGTGTTGAGGGGACCGAGAGACGTGCTAATGTTGGAGGATTGTTATCAGCTATATGTTTCACTTCTGTGAGAATCTGGCACTTTTCTATTGGATGATTCTCTGAACATATACTGCACACTGTAACAGAATGTAAATAACAAGTTATAAAATATCAGATTAGAGCTCCTAAGGGCTTTTTTTATCCGTGGAACGCAAGGAACGCGATGATTCGGGATCTTTACAGTTCGGGCCGGTTCAACCAGCCTAACCGTGGCCTCGACCCACCTCAGAGCAGTCAAAGCGTTCCACCGGAATAGATGGGACGCGCAAGTGGAACGGGATAAAAAATTATGCGTTCCGTAGCGGTTCACATAAAAAAAAACCCTCTGTAACTAAGGAAAAGAATAGACAAATGTTGCCACATCAATCTGGGTGCATCAATTATCAGTTGGCCCGTTGGTTACCAGGTAAATTAATGTTGAATGGTGCCATTCTCTGATGTGACATTTGTCTCTTCTTTTCTTTCCCCGGTTCTATTTTACTTTAAAAAAGGTGACTTGACCTACATCATTGCTTGAATTTGCGCAGAATATTCTTCACATACAGAGGGATAATCACCAAAGCTTTCAAGAACTGATGTCTAGTAATTTTTCATGTAAAAAATAAAGAATGACAGAAAGTTGCGATGCCACAGTTTCACCATCAATATTCGATTGCCCGGTGGACAAGGATTTCCTCAGTAAGATATGACTCAGTTTTTGTTTCACTGGGTTTTTACTAGATTTCTGAAATACGAAATATATCAATACTTTTAAATCACTGAAGACCTTAGTATGGAGACGGGAAAGTAGAAAAATTTCTGCTGAATATGTTGTGCAAATGATAAGGCGATAAGGATGAAAAATTGACTGATATCAAATAAAAATTACCAGTTAGTTGCAGCGGGATTCTTGCATCCCAAGAATTCATGATGAATTGATTTCATTACACACTTCACTTGAAGTATATTCAAGGGAGGAAGAGGTGTATGGGAATCGAAAGGAAAGATCACTGTTTCCTTCAATTCCAAACAGGAATTTAATTTTTAATGGCGAAGGCGAACCACATAACCTAAACACCTAAAAAAAACACCGGGCTGAATCTATCCGACTCGTATCCGATTGCGCATAGAACAATACACACGGGCCTCCCGCCTTCCGCGTAACAAGAGGGCACCGCTACACTAGTTCTAGAAACCGCCGCGCCACCGCAGCGCTGCCTACCGTAAATTACATCCGCCAACACCCGTTCACCTTCTCCCCCTCAACTATTCGATTCTTCTCCGCTATTTCTTCCTCTAAACCTTCACCCTCACTATTTTCTACGAACGTTACGTCAATCACCAAACGCTTAAACCCCGGGGAACGCCTCTTCCTACGCGAAAAGTCCCCATCAGATACGCTCTTCGTTCGATGAGTTTACTCCGGATCATCAAACTTCAAGAGTCCATAAAAAAAATTTGACGCCTACGATTTTGATGAAACTTTTTCTGAGCCCTCCCAGCATACCAAAGGATAGATTAAAATGAAAATCGTCGTGTCGAAAAGTTTCCTTCTACCGGAAAAGTCCCCATCAGATAGGCTCCTCGTTCGATGAGTTCACTCCGGATCATCAAACTTCAAGAGTCCATAAAAAAAATTTGACGCCTACGATTTTGATGAAACTTTTTCTGAGCCCTCCCAGCATACCTGGGAATGGATTAAAATGAAAATCGTCGTGTCGAAAAGTTTCCTTCTACCGGAGAGTCCCTATCAGATAGGCTCTTCGGTCGATGAGTTCACTCCGGATCATCAAACTTCAAGAGTCCATAAAAAAAATTTGACGCCTACGATTTTGATGAGACTTTTTACAGGCACTCTTAGCATACCTGGGAATGGATTAAAATGAAAATCGTCGTGTCGAAAAGTTTCCTTCTACCGGAAAAGTCCCCATCAGATAGGCTCTTCGGTCGATGAGTTCACTCCGGATCATCAAACTTCAAGAGTCCATAAAAAAAATTTGACGCCTACGATTTTGATGAAACTTTTTACAGGCACTCTTAGCATACCTAAGGATAGATTAAAATGAAAATCGTCGTGTCGAAAAGTTTCCTTCTACCGGAAAAGTCCCCATCAGATAGGCTCTTCGGTCGATGAGTTCACTCCGGATCATCAAACTTCAAGAGTCCATAAAAAAAATTTGACGCCTACAATTTTAATGAGACATTTTTCAGGCACTAACTGCATCCCTACGTATCGAAAAATGTCAAAACCATCGTGTCGAAAAGTGTCCTTCTACCGGAAAAGTCCCCATTAGATAGACTCCTCTTTCGATGAGTTCGCTCCGGATCATCAAACTTCAAGAGTCCATAAAAAAAATTCGACGCCTACAATTTTAATGAGACATTTTCCAGGCACTCTTAGCATACCTAAGGATAGATTAAAATGAAAATCGTCGTGTCGAAAAGTTTCCTTCTACAGGAAAAGTCCCCATCA